GGCATGGTGGGGAAAGTTAGAAAGAAATTGTGACAATCGCTCCCATAAAGCACGAAGTTTATAGGAACGTCAGGCGGAACATACGGAATAGCGAGGCACTTTCCGAAGAATAGTCTACGGGAGAAGATCGCTGAGAATCCCTCGGTTCCGTCGACCCTGAAAATCTTAATGGACGTCAAAAACGTTAATCAACTAAGGCGTACCTAGGCAACAATAGGAATATGATGTCATGTCTTCGAAGAATAACGCGCCTGCACTGGTAATAGTAATTGACGCCGAAAGATAAAAGACACGCTTGACAGACGGTGATCTTTTGAAGACATATCAATATAAAATCCAGAAAAACACGAGGGGAACGTCCTCATACGGGGATCTAGTGATGACCGAGGACGGTCAGTATTATAGTGAGGGGGAGATGATACAGAGTGTAACAATACACCCGTAAAAATGCGAATTTTAGCGATTTCTCCTATAAAACCTCCTATAGTAGAAATACAGTCACATTGATCATAAGGATCGTTAGACGCAACCCGGTCTAGTCGATTAAAGTTTACATCCGAGAAATGTGCACGCCTTAGACAGTAGGAATTGCGGTCGGTTCGTGACCGAATCACCTCAATATACTCGAAGTCTAATAAAAGGCTACACTACCATGAAATAGTACGCTACCGAGTGTTCTAGAGTAAAAACACCCCCGCACAGGGTGTTGGAGTTTACACCAAACCAGGGTCTCACTTTATTATGGATTAAAAGATATTAATTCTAAAAGATAAAACGCGCGAGCGTAGAAACTCGACGCGTACCTGACGCGAGAAGTCATTCGGTCACGTGCTACGAAGCATGATCCAAGAAGTCATGTGGAGAGACGCATCACGCGCATCACGCGCATCACGCGCATCAACACATCACAAATCATGGCATCATTGACCCAAGAAAACTAAGCTTCGTGAAATATTCCGAAGCCTGCCAAAAGAGAAAAAACTATGAACGATTTGCAGTGCGGTCCGAGGCCCGGGCATAGTATCTAATAATAGAGAGAAAATCACTAAGCGGACCGTTCGTCTCGGCTGGACCGATCGTGAAAACCGTTTACGGCGATTCCCGTGTACGCATCAATACTGATGTGTCGCGTCGCCACAATAGAGAAAACACTACGAAAACTTAAAAGAAGTCAGCTCAGTTGTGCCACGCACAATCGAGCCACTTCAAACCTTTACTAAAAATTCAGTATTAATTCGTCCGACCTCTCGGACAAAGCACGGACATATAAATATAAATAGAAGACATAGAATAGTATAAAAAGAGGACGCGCGCAGGCTGAAACGCAAGGAATTATCCCCCGCGTTGACCAGCTGTCGCACTCCCAGTAGCATCTGAGGTAGTGGATAAGTTTGTAATCAATTTAAGGACTTTTCTTCGCAGACATAAGTAACGTGTGCCCGGAACCAGTGTGTTAAGTGGGGATCACAAAGCTTTTGTAAGGTTGTCTCGTCAATTAGTAAGAGAGCTCTCTACTATTACCGAGGAATCCAAGTGAGCGTGCTTGAGGAGTCTTTAAGACTAGTTTGGACCGCATCAGAGGCATAATAAAAACTCAAGGGAGTTATAAAAAGTCTACAAAGCACAATTTCCTTGTCATTTCTTCGTATACAGTTAGAGTGCAATCCCAGAACACTGAGACAGTCCCAATAAAAGTCGTTTCCCTTCAAAGACTACTAAAGTTTCGAATTCTACACTGTGTCCGCACGTAAAACAATACCTTTTGTCCCGAAAAGGTCTACTAGACTTAGACAAGTGATATAAAAAATACAAAAATGTTTCCCCGAACTTCTACTTAAGTTCTTACAAAACAAGTGTGGTAATTCTGTTTACCGTACGAACCCGAACTCGAAGTACCGAGCACGTACCTGTGGTGATAAGTGTTTAAGGTGTTTGTGTGTGTGTGTTGTTTAGGTGTTCACGCATCTTGTCAGCGCGTCCGATTGCACTATTCTCACTCCCGCGTGCCACGGTCTTCTCACTGTATCGTAGATGGTGGTTAATATAGTAAAGTTGGAACAGAAGAAACAACGTACCAGCCATTGAATACACCAATGTTGTGGCCTCGAGTGACGACGTAGAATGGGCCCTCGGCATTTGCAGCTGGGACATGATATCTGTACGGCAAGGCAAGGAGGTGTGCGGGAGGCAAGATGGCATTGGCTGGGGCATTCACCGGGAGGACGCCATAGAGCGGAAGGGCCACGTTGACAGCTGTGGGAGCGACGACAGGAGCAGCTGCCACAGACGTGGCTCCAGCGGTGACAGCCGTTTGGGCTCCTGCAGCATTGGCGGCGGGAGCTGCAGTATTGAGCCCATCGGTTGTGAGGGGAGCGACATTGTGCAGGGAAGCGGCAACCAAAGTGGCGGAACTGGCGGCAGTGAGGTGGCCGACGCTATCGAGATCAGAGAGTGAAATCAGGGAGGTGGTACTGGTGTCCGAGAGTTGATCGTCGTCCGCGTTGTCATCAGTGGGGCCAGATGTTTCTGCGCCAGTGGCAACAGTGGGAGAAGCGGCGATGATGGAGTCAGAAGAGGTGGTTGTGGTGGTTGTGAGGGACTGGGTCGAGTCGAGGTTGGCGTAAGCCACCAGGGCACGAACGATTTCTCGTGCGCCCTCTGGGGTGATAGAAAGACGAGCGAGAAGATTTTCAAGGTCTGAGAGCCCGTCACCATCAGTGGGAAGTAATTCGGAAGAGGGATGTTTGATACTTACTGTCCGCCGATGATGGGGAACCAGCGGGTGCTCCAGCATTGGGTAAATTAGCCATTGAAAATGTTCTGGCGTGAAAGGTGAGGGAAAAGCGGATGGGGGGACGAATTTGCTGTTGAACGCACCTTTATCTAGGACGAGAAGCCTTCTCACAGATGTAATAAGACGTAATAGTAGGTAAGGAGCTTGCGTAGACGCAGAGTAGTGTAAACACGTACCCATTGTTGCCCAAACGCTCTCCGCCCCAGAAACCAAGATGGACAATAATGTTGGCGATGTTGAAGTTGAAGTGTGAGTTTAAAATCTAAAATCGACTGATGTGATGTTGTGATCTGATATCAAACATTCAGGGTCGACAGAGAGCCCCTTTTGCGTGTTTTGAAGCGTAACTGGGCAAAGGGCGCTCGCCTCACTTTTCTGGAGAGCTATATCGACAACTACAAAAACGGGCTTTTGACGAAAAAGGCCCCCGCTGTCCTTGACAGTATCGTCAACGCGTGGTTCGCTCGTTTTCACTGGACGATCCCCCTCTCTGCCGAAACTGATCTTCCTGCGACGACCCTGCCTGTCGGTCCCGACGGACATGAAATCTTAACCAAAGAACATCGGAAGCTGAAGGCTGAGGTTGTTGAGCGCACGCAAACTGTACGTATTCCGGAAACAAACTAACATTCGAGTACTGACAACAAATTTAGTCACTCTATGGCTGGTTTGAGTACCGCTGTAAGAAAATTGTCAAGCTCCCGCGCAGTGTAAAAGGAGGCAAGGACCCAATGTCCATCCTCATTTCGAGACTCTTGGGCCAAGATGCTACTCCCCCGAAGCGAAACGCGCCTTGGGAGGCTTGGGCCAAGGTTCACTTTCCCGAAATGAAAGCGACCTTCAATGTGGAGTTCAAGCAGAGTGGAAAACCGAGGAACTTACTCGCGTCTGCTCGTAACGAGTTCAAAATGGCGGCATTCAAACGACTCGACGAAGCCGAACGTCAGCGCTGGGAGGACATAGCACAGCAGGAACACCTTGACCACAAGAAGCGTCTCGAAGATCTTGAGGGCGAGGAGGGCTTGATGGATCCTGAGGCGGCGCAAGAGTATGTAATTCGATTTGACGATGACTGGCTTGCGCTGACCAATACCCTTCAGAGTCCTTGATCGCCTTCCTAATCTTTTGGGGCCGCTCATTCAGGCCATCAGAGAGGCGACCGGTATGCACTTGTCGGTGCTGGTTGGGGGTCCTGAGCCAAAGAAAAAGGGCCAGCTGAACATGTTTGGGTATGCTCTGCTTCGTCATGAATATTTCCAGGGGCTAACGAGCCTTGACTAGCATTCACCATGGCACTAACCTCGCCCCATCACCGAAGTCTTGGCCCTTTGCTGAAAAGGAGCAATGGAACATCGCTAAGGAAGCGTTTTTGAGATTCCTTTCAACATGTTACAGTAAGTCCCCGTTATTATTTGTTCTTTTAACACTACTAAAGATCTACCAGCTACAGAACAGCAACGCACACGCGCGATCATCCCATCCACTGTGCAATCCACTGAACAACCCACTGCAGGACCGTCATCATCATTCCCTTCGGGCACTCTGCCTCCATCTACCCAGCCGTCACCCACACCCTTGACTACTATACCCTCTGCCCCGCCTTCCAATTCCACGGACTTGAAAACACGACGCAAGCGAAAGGCTGGGAAAGGTAGAAAGAATCCCACAAAGAAGGCAAAGCGGGCACGGATATCAAAGAAGAACGGCTCGGCGATTACATCCGATGGGAAGTCAGATCCGTCTAGTTCCGACGCTGAGGAGTCTCCCACAGACGACGAGGACGACAGCGACGACGGCGACGACATTGACGATGGTAATGATGAGAGTGGTGACATTGAGGCGGACGTTCCAGCTCTCAGGACGAGGTCAGGGAGGAGTGGTGGCAAGACTTCCATGGACCCGAGTCGCTGGAAGAAGACTCAACCATCTGCTTCTGCCATCAATGGTAACAATGTTACCATCCACATCAACACGTCAACTGTCAACAGCTTCACGAACATCAACGCTTCTCCGCCTGCAAGCACGTCGAAGGCTGAGGCCCCATGTTCGCTCGACACCGGGGATCCATATCCCCCTCCTCAGGGTGACTCTGCTCACACTCCTCGCTCTCCTCTCATATCGCAGCTTACTACCGGCTCTGTCACTAAAATTGACCCCGACCCATCTTGGCCAGAATGGTTCCGCGACGGTTATAATTTTCTCACTGCCAAGGATCTCGGTATGCAATTTACTACAGCCGTTAACACATACGTCCAACTCGAAAGCCACACTTCGTTCCAAGCGGGTTCACGTTCTGAGGGGTTTAAACCCACCAACAGGCCGACAGAAGTAGCGTGGTGGGTCGCTCGAGGACGAAAGGCGCAACCAATGATCGAGGATAAGCGCGTATTTGAGCAACGGTGGTGGAAGTGGTGGAACGGATTGCAGCCAATTTGGTGCGACGTTGCGGGTGTTGAGGGTGCGTTAAATGCCTCCCATCGATTGTGCTCAGAGGGAGATGGCGGTTGGACGGCTGTGAATAAACATGGGAGGAATGCATTCCTCACCGTGATGGCGACGCTTGTGTGGTGGGCGGATGGGTTGAAAGATTGTGCTCAAGATCCAGGTTGGCTAGCGGCTGTCGAAGAAGTCGCATGGGTGTTGGATCAAATCAATACAAGGTTGGTCTGTCGTCGTGGACTGTATACAGCAGGAGCTGACGGACAAGGCAGCCAATCTGCACCCTCAAACTAGTCCGCCAGCCAATCCGTGCCCTCAAAGTAGTCTGCCATTCGCACATCGCGTTCACGAACCATCGCAACTCACATCGAACAACCTGGTCAGGGTCCCGCCGCTTCAATTTGTGTTAGGCAAGTAGTGTGCCATGAGGCGTGTATACGAGTCATTTTTTGGTATCTTGGCTTTTCTCAATCCCGAAATTTCTGTCACTGCACTTTTTGCCGTCTTACTTCCCATTTCTTGTTCTAATACATTTGTCCCCTTTTCTTGAACACTCTTAATACATACAAGATATCTTTGTAATGTACATAGTATTTGTATAATAAGTTCTTGGTGTAACGAGGGCGGCGTCTAATACTCGATTGAGTGTACAAGTTGAACCATCACGTGATGTTGCGGTGAACTTCAACTTACGCACAACGGCCGGTTTGGGTGATCTTCCACTCTAACATGAGTGCAGGAGGAATACGGGATGGCCGTGTGGTGGTGTGTGTGAATTATGCTGGGAGGAATTGGGGGGGAGGGCCGGAATTTCTTTTTTTTTTCAAAAAAAAACAAACAAAACAAAAAAATAACAATGTGGAAACATATTGATCGAACAAAAGACGAGTGTGATGGTTTTGGGACGCCAAAATCGATTTATTGATGCGGAAACAATGGTAGATGTGAAAGGGAGACCAAAAGTAAAATGAAATAGAAACATAAGAATGAGGAAAACATATTAAAGAGTTGTGACATGTGGAAGACATACCTGGAGCTGTAATTGATGGTGTATCAAAGCAATGGAAGGTGCGCTGGCGGAGATGACACCAGATTTGATAGAAGCGGCCTGTCTGGCTAATAATAACTACACGAGAAACATATTTGATGGGAAGAACCACGCGGAAATATATATAGGAGGCGGAACCACACGGAATTACATTTGATTGCTTTTATTGTATGGATTAAACAATTTCTGGGCAGAAATGCCCATTTTTTTTTCTGGTTCCCCCACGGAATGGAACCCAGACTTTTGGAAATACTGGGTAAGACCAGTCTCTGAGTCACAGGCAAGGTGGGATTAATCCACAGGAGTTTGGTCAATTCTTACAGCCTGGGCTGCAGCAGCAGCTGTTTGACAACCGCTCTGGTTCAGCCAAAGCAGAATGTAGAGGGTTTACACACTGTTTTTCTTCCCTGGCCCCCTTTTTCTTTTTGGTGGCGCAGCCAGCTCTTCGACGTCCTCTCTCGCAACACCATACTCCCTCTCAAACTCGGCTTCGTCTTCCGCAGTCACAGGACCAATGATACGATCAAGGATGGCATTAGTTACAGTAGTAGGCATATTACAGGAAGGTAGGAGACACTGAACTGCTACCAGGGCAAGATTGCCGCAGGCAGAGATGACGGTAGACCGTAGGCGCAGAACGCACGACCAAATTTGAGCCAAATTTGCCCCAAGGAGCAAATTTGATCAATTTCTCACACTTTCAAAATGACGCAGTAGTGCCAACCTTTATGAAAACAGCTGTAATCAAGCAAATAAACCGTAACGCCAACTGATTAGATTTATTCACCTGACATGAATAAACTTACTTCCCTCTCATTTGAGCTGTTTTGAGGACACACAGGCCCATGGATGGGTGTATTATAGTTAATGCTCAATCATATCAGCCAGAAAGTAGGACACACAATGAATGAAGCCGAGAAAATGTCAACTTGAGCTGAACATGCTGTGGTTCTGTGAGTTATGTGCTGAGAAGATTGTTTGTGGAAGGAAAAACAGCTTCGGAGAGGAAATTTTGGAACCAGAGGACGTTGGCACTACTAATAAACTCTGTAATGGCTTCAAATTATAACGAGAGAGCAGACTGCCCTCAGCCGTAGGAGAGTAGAGAGGATGAGGTAGAGCTGACTAAGCTGGGTGGGAAGAAAACGTACCCAGGAAGGAAAGGTGTTATGATGGCAGGGTTGATTCCAGTGTTTGAAATCTATTCGAGGGGTCTGTACCCTCTGAATAGATTAAGGTTTATAACTGGGTGCCAACCAGGGCCTCCATCAAAGTTGAACCCTTACAAGACTCGGCATCCCGGCAAAAGACCCTAGATCTCGTCGATTTATTTAAATCTAGCAAATTTATGTTACGGGAAGTCACCCAATGGACTAATAAACAATCAACAGATTGAATTACATACACATAATATAAGCGCCCATCGTAACGTGGATTGTGAAGTGATTCAGGCGGTGGTTTGGGGGTTGCCGTATTCGCTGGTGCCGATCGCTTCTGAATCTCTGGCACCTGTACCACCAGAGCCATTACGTCAAGCCCAGAAGAGCCTGATTCGGGTTTCCCTTGAATTGGGAGACGAGTCGAGTCATCCGCGGGCGCCCTTTACGACAAAGAGAGATACAAGGAACAGCTTGGGGTGCTTTTATAGCCTTCGACCTTCCAAAGATGCCTTCTGAGTGAGGCAACGTTGGGCGGGGATGTGATTGACTTGGTCAAGATACGGCCGATGGTATTGTCGTTGGAGTAGATGGCATTGCAGGACTCGAGCGCGTTGTCGTGGGCGTATAACCGGTAGTATACTTTGAATCTGAGCTGAGATCAAGGATACAAGTTCACAAGGACTATCGCACCGTAGTGATGAGCCGCTTCTGATATCTATTTCGGCGCATGCGATCAGGGATATCTACAGGAAGGATGTACAGAGTAGACTGACTTACAAGTTCGTTTCCTCCTCGGCCGTCTAACTGAGATGGCTCTGTTCCGCAAAGGCTCATGGTATTGAGACTTCAAAGATAGATATCGTAATCGGTGTGAGTCTGCAAGGCGAAAAGATAAGTATCAGGTTTCGCGTGTTCACCCAATACAGTACCTGCCAAGCGCTGTATAGCTTTGTCAGTGTGTCTCTAAGCTGTATCAACGTATTCAAGTCGAAATCAAAACGCAACGCATGCATAATTGTAACCGGAACCATTCAAACCGTGTAGACTGCAAAAAGAGCCTTGAAAGAGCTCAAAGTTGAATGAGCGGGACAGGAACCGAACTCGGAAAACACGCGATGCATTGGAATCAGCACAAACAAATAAACAAACGCACGGACCATTGGATTCTCGACACAACCGTGATGAGGCCTTATTTCGATGCCGGCGCGTCCTTGACCTGTCATTCTTTCTCACCAAACTAAATTCTACCTATGGTTTGCTCGTTTTTGCCTTGATTTAAGTATCTTAGACAAGGATTTTCACGTTTAGGTGATACAAGGGTGATGACCGTAAAAACCTGGCATCGGTCTATAGTTCCTTTCTTTCCTTGCACTCGGAGAATTGGCCGCATAAGCACACAAGAGTCACAAAGGCTAGGTCTATATGCTGCTCGCTGGGAGGGCGAAACGCATGGCAGGGAGCCCTCACAGGTGCGAAAATCTGTCGAAGTACCAAAGTATGACATTTTTGCAGTCCCATTTCTCCCATATAAGATGTCCATCTCACATCCACGTCTCACAGGTTCCCCAACCAACATCCCTAGATCAAACATGCGCTGCGTTGTGCCGTGCGGGTAGTTCTTTGCTGTGGTGGATGACTAATGCGATGGGGAAGGTAGGAAGCAACCGAACACAGTAGCCACGTCGATTCAATAGCATCAATTGAAACCGTGAACGCTGTTATTCGGGGCACAACGATAACGGGTTATACACTTGTGGCACCTTGGATCCGGGGGAGTGGTGAGTTCTGCCAATCGTGACGACTTCGAGGCTTACACCGTTGTTCATGAAGCTCGATATATGCGGGTGGATACATAGGATATTTCCTCATCTCATGAATGTCAGGTTCGTGTCATAAGAAAGCCGTCATATTACTGGGCTAAACAGGTAAGGTTCCACGCTTTTAGGCACTCCAATTCTCCGAGCTGACGGTATATCTTGTAGACACGCATACTTAGCGATGTCGACCTCAAAGATCAGGGAGCAAACGTTCGTTGAAAACGTTGAATGCTTCGGCTCACCCGCCGGACGCACTGATGACGCCAAGCTTTAGTTCGCTGTACGTAAACTAGTTGCATTGTTAATCTCTGCCTTGCTAAGTCGCACCTGTTTGAAAGGCGGAAATTAAGGCGGAAACCTTTGGCACGTTGCACGACGGTCCGATTTCCAGAGGCGTCGTACTGAAGACATGGGGTTGAAATGCACAAATTGGTTGTCTTTAATTGAATGATCACCGTCTCCTGGATAATAAGATGGAGTCCGCTGCGTATCAAAAGGTCTAAAGATGAGTAATTAGATGGTACGTAGAATCTCATTTTCTGAGGACGACCCTAACGATTATGTTACAGGCTCTAAACATTGATGCAAGGTCTTCATTTTCTGTTAATTTGCGCATCATGGCGAGCTTACGCCTCATTTGAAGGTGAAATCTCTAAAAAATCATTGATGATCAGCGAGATCACGTCAGATGGTAAGCGACATTCCGGTGCACCCAAAGTTCTTTACCGATGTGTGACTCACCAAGAAATTGCCCATTGACAACACCTAACGACCAAAGTGATACAGGTACAGGTCAAAACGGCATTGATTTTATTCCTGTGACTAAATGAATGTGCACAGATCTTTTGACAGTGCAGTCTCGTACATATCTTAAGAATAGAATCGTTAAAAATCCAATTTCAACCCTTATGTAGTATGCAAACTTTCGACAAATAATCAAAAATGAGCATCGGAGTCAACAGAGTGTAACAAATTCTGTGGTTATGTGTCAATTATTCTGATCTCTGGCTCCTCGGAAATTTGCTCAAAACCTCACCTTTCGAAATAACTGCAAAGGAAAGCCATTCTCAAACAGTTTACAAGTTGTGGGATATTTATTACTTACAAGCTTGTTTTCCTGATGAATTTATTGCGATATAACAATCATGTACTAGAGGGGGACGTCATGGTCAACACCAACCTGCAAGCCTTATGAAATGACTCACTCCACGCATCCATATAATATCTCTTGCGTGTCAATATTCCATCCGTTTGAAAGATCTCCCCCTGTCTTGCTGAGTGCCAGGTCATGTCGTGAGCTCCCATAGCTAAAAAAAGGGCAACTGTGAGAGAACATAAGGATTAGTTCAGAGTCACGAACCAGAGTCTTGATTTGCTCTCAGACGCTTCGAGAAGCTGTGAGGTTCTGGTTCCGAAGCGTGTTCCTGCTTCTTTGGTCCATGTACGATAGCTATGGGATCATCCAAGAGGACACCTGGGTAATTGTCAGAAAAAAGGTCGAGGACTTCGTTATGATTCAGGATATTTTCTCCGCCATCGTCTTTGAATAGCTTTACATTTTGTGATGGGATTTTTTCGGCTTGAATAAGACAAGCCTCTAAGGAAGCGCCGCTGTGAGGCGGCGGAACGGAGAGCCCAGTAACGCGACCAAGAGAAAGGTCCGTCTCATCAAAGGACGTCTTTGACGAAACTTCACCCGCCTCTTCATAAACACGATAGTAAACTGGCAAAGATTGGGCGAAGATTAACATTCGCGTGAGAAAAGAATTAGGCGCCCACCGTAGCGGTGTTCATGTGGCCATTCAGGAAGCGTTTTCGAATCCACCTTACTCCCCGCTGCCAATTTCTTTCTGAGCTTCGGACTCTCCACCACCAGTGCCATTGGGTCAAGTTCAGATGAGCCGGGACTAGGACCCCCCTTGAGTTGGAGATGGGTCAAGTCATTTGCGGGCGCCTTTTCGGACAAAGAAAGATACAGGGTGTTGGTTGGGGTTCCGTCGAGGTCCTCGATCTTCCAAAGATGCTTTTTAAGCGATCCAATGTTTCGCGGGGGGGCAACAGACTTGACCAAGATACGGCTGATGCATCTGTCGTTAGAGTAGATGGGATTCTTGGATTCCACCGGGTTGTTTTTGGTGTATAATCGGTAATATACTGTGTTTTCAATGTCAGATCGAGGACAGAAACTCAGACGGAAGATAACCGTACTGTAAGGATGGCCTGCTTCTGGTGCCTGTTTTCGCGCTTCAAACCACAGGTATTCCATAAGCGGATCACATGTAGACTCACCAGCTCGTTACCACCCCGACCATCCAACTGTGGCGGCTCTCTTCCGCTGTTGCTCATGCTGTCGGGATGTTACAGGCAGGTATCAGCTGGTATCAGTGCAATTGCAAGTTGGTGAGCGGTCGAGCTGTGATGTGTAGGAAGGTACCTGAGTGCTGTGCCGGAACTGTCTCACGTTGGCACCGCTGCCAACAATTGGGTTTCTACATATCTTTGAAACTGAAAACACTTGAGAAGTCGGCCGGTCAGAAGCTTGTGGCACTACATAGGATGCAATCCACTCATTAAAATCTGGCTATACCCGAGGACGTGTCATGTCAAGCCACGAGTTAAAATTTGCGTCTTCTAGGCAATGAACCAACGCATAAAGATCAGTATTCAGTTGGAAACAGAACTCGCATTTCACCTCGATAATGCATTGCTAGGAAAGAATTTCAATGTCGTCGTCCTCGCCCAGGTCTTTGATGGGTTTCAAATCATGATCTAGGCATCGTTCAACCTGACAGACGACTCTTCAAGGAAAGGGGCAGCGTTCGACTGGAGAGCGCGTTAATGTGGCCCAAGGAAGTGCCTCATCATCATAAATATAATAGTAGACTGACAAAAAAATCGATTGATTGAATTAGACAGAAAGCGAGCGCGCACCGTAACATTGTATGTGAGGCCATTTAAGTAGTGTTTCGAGTCCCCCTTCCTTACTGCCGCCCACCGCTTTCCGACCCCGACCGCCTGATCTAGAGCCATTGGGACAAGTTCAAAACAATTTTGGAGGCGTGATGTGCTTGATCAATGGTTGATGAATGTATCATTGGCAGAAATGAGATTGATTTCAGGGTCTCGTTGGTGGTGATCAGCCTGAAGTGTACTGCGAAAATGAGTTGAGGCCACACATTCAGAAAGGCATGATCGATGACACACTTGCAAGCGCGGTAGACTCACAGTCTCGCTTCCCCCTCGGCTGCCTAACCGAGAGTCAAAGTTGAATGTTTTAGAACACCAACCTTCATAACTTCGAAATGAGACGAAAGAAAGAAAATTGAAAGAAAAGCAAAAGAAAATGTTATGTAAACCTTTGAAAGTAACAAGGATAAACAGACCACTTGGCACATGCCACGCGGCGTCTTGAAGCTCGTACGCGTCTAGCGCTCGTTCCAAGTTCATTCTACGAAAGCAATTTCCAAGTCCACGTTGCAACCAACGACGCCACCGCGGTATTGAAGTGGACCCACTGAATATCACGCGTCGTCTGACTATCTCTTTGACACCAACGATCGTCGTCATCCTCGCGACTCACGACTAGGCTGTGAACGAACGACCCTCGGCCTCCTTCCGTCGTGATTCTCGTGAACCTCTGAGTCACTCTCCAAGGTAGATTTCTTCTGTGCGTTTTCAAACCTCGTATGTACTCTTTATGGTGTTTGCCCTTCCTCAGTAGTTCTACCAGGTCATTGACACATAAGTACTATCTCTACTACGTCATTATTGTTTCGGACGGTGACCGGTGACAAGGGGGGGGGGGGTGCGAGAATAAAAGGGGAAAGTCGGGGGGAATATGCACTGGGACATTTGGCAAGGTCACGTCAAAGGGTACAACTTATGGTTGGGAACAGTCCTTGCCGAGAGTGGATCTTCATTTCATCAAAGTCGCAACAATTCCACCAAATTCTTAGATACAAAGACAACACCAAGTACGTCTTAGATACAAAGACAACACCAAGTACGTAGACTCAACAATGGAGACCTCCATCTGAATTTCTCGAGTAAAGTCGACTGCACACAAACGGAAGTTTCAAATTTTCGGATCCTTCACTGTCCCTGGACTGGATAACGGCGCTGAACAATAGGCACCAAGATAGTACCGTAAATGGGCTTCGCAGGGGGCGTCACTGGAACAGACTTGCGTCCCGGACCCTCAAACGGCGTCTTCTGCGGGATAGTAGAGAGATTGACGTTCTCCGAGGAGATGAAGAATACTAAATACCCCACGTCAATGTCGGTGCCTTCCTCTAGCTGATAGGTGAATGGATCAACCCCGCCGGAGCCGTAGCCGAGGGTGAGATAGTTCCCATTTTTGGGGAGGGTGGGGTAGGTTTTGAATTTACCGCTTGTTGGTGATTGGTAGATTGATTCTGGAAAAGGGGGTAAGTTAACGATGTCCAGTGGTAGTAAGAATTATAAATTACCAATGCTGAAGTCGGTGTTGTCGAAGTAAAAGGCGTTGACGTAGAGATCGCGAGCGCTGTTGTTGGTAATTTTATATCCATACATCGTCCGATCTGACGCAACGACGTCAATGACACCGAGCTGTAGGAGGTTGTCCCCAGTCGGCTTCAAAATTGCATTTCCCGAGGAGTCGTAATCACTTGTGGGTTTGAGGGTCTTACATTCAATATCGATGGAGGTGTTGACGAGAGCATCTTTCACCTCGCGGTTAAGATGCCAATAGAAGTGAGCAGCGCCATGAAGGACCGGAATGATCTCCTGCGGGTCGTTTGCTACGGTATGAGGCATACGCGCCAAGCCGTACTCTGCGAGACGCGGATCAAGGATGTCGAACGCTATTCTGTCTTTCACAATCGAAAGGCCGAGTCTCGCCTTTTCCTTCTCTAGGACAGGCCGGATTTGCCTCTTACCAGGATGGAACTCCTTCATCATTTTCGCCAGAGTTTCATACAGGCTGAGAAGTTTTTCATCGAGCGGAGCAAACAGCAAAAGATCCTCCGCCTCCCCGGCTTTCGTCTGCAAAACGCAAGAAGTCGCGGAAAGAATGGTGACGGGGGCGCTGGATGTATCTTTGATCTGAAGCGTTGTGGTGAATGGGCCGATGTCAGCCGCTTTAGCAACAACGAAGACGCAGAGGGAGGGTGAGTCGTCGATGGTGAGACTGTCGTTGTATAGACCGAATTCGGAACCCTCTGTGACACCATGTGCAGATCCGGCTTGCATCTCGTATGCGCTGCCGTTCATCTTGATAGGGAAACATACACGTCCTGTTGTAGGTGCTTTGGAGTTGAAAATGATGCGGTTTTGGTTCACCCCTTCACACTGAGGGTTTTGGCTGTGGGAAACGACGTCAGTCGTGGAGGTACTACAGTTGTTCAGACTTACTATGGTATCTTGTCCATCCTCTCGAGAAGAGAGGCGTACGTGAGTTTATCCGCGCCGGACGACTTGAGAGTAGGAAGGAGAGCCTGGGTGAACGCCCCACCCCCGGTGCCGCCATCAGACGCTTCTTCTTTCTGTGTGCATGCTGCCAAAAGGACGTGATTGGCTAACCCTCTTCTAGTATATCCTGGTGCAGTGCTCGACCCACGGGACACACTCGCTGCGTACCAGATGTCACGATCAAGGTCCTGTGGTATATGTTGGCTCTGATTTTTAGTGAGGCCTCGGACTTTACGACGTCCTCGTGTCCCGGATCCTGAATGGCAGCAATCAAAGATGACGGTCTAAACGAAATCCATTTGATCGACTATTACAAGCATAGGTCGAGAGGGATTTCCTTACTATATTATCCCCATGTTCTTTCGCAATTCCGTTCAGTAACGCTGCGAGAGTGTGGTCGGGGATTCCGTGAACCTGCCTTGCAGGATTGGTGCTGTAGTCCTGCGGAATGATCATCTGTATCTGGTTATATACGTCTCCAGAAGGCCAGCCAGTCGGGGCGTCAGTTTCGTCACCGTGTCCTGCAAAGAAAATCAAGATCGGGTCGTTCTTCTTGATACGCTTGTCGGTTTGAATTTCCAGGAACGCCTTGATGATGTCGGCGCGCTTGGCATTCGCGTTAGTTAGGAAGCGGATATGCGAATCCGGAACTTTCAAGTCTTGAAGTAGATAGTTGCGCACGTCGGTAGCATCCTTGATACACCCGTCCAGAGGGTTGAGGTCTTCAGGATTGTACTCATTGATGCCGATGATGAGAGCGAACAATGACGTCGTCGCTCTATATCATCTTCAGTGGTGTGCGACCACAGGGTAAAATGCAAAGGCTTACTGATCTGGCACAGCGATAATTGGCGGGGGCTTGACGGTTTCCACGATCGGGCCACTGATAAGAATTGATGAGAATGGGATTGCAGTCGGATCTGACGCCGTGGACTCACGTTGGCTTTGAACGATTCACCAATAGGTGCCAGAAGAGTTCAGCATAACTGAAGACATTTATGTTGAGGCTAATGAAAAACATGGAGGTGGAAGGTGGGTCACAGCAGGTTCGATCCAAGCGGTGCTTTATACCTATCTTGTGGCACAAGTGTCACGAGATCGCCCATAAATAGGTCCGTGCTTCGATTCGACCTGTCATTGATATATATGTCTGGTTGGTTCAAAGCCGGACGCTCAATATAGACTTGGCTGCTAATACTCCTGGGAATGAGATATCTTCTGGCATCGATAAGGATACTTGCCAGGGCCAACCCCAAAAATAATCGCATGAAGTCATGGCACGTTACCGTGCACATCTGCAGTTTGCACTGTAGCGACCTGTTCAACAAGTTAGTCGCACGGCAATACACAGGAGGTCAATAGAGTCGGAACCTGGATTAGATGCGACGGCGGTTATGCTCAACCTAACATTGTGCTTGACGTGGGTGCAAATTGCAGTGAACTGTGTTAGGGCTGTGACGTTTAACAGCAAGTAAAGTTCCCTTTCGTAAACCCACTACGAACGTAGTGGGAATTTACTAGTACCTGCTAGATATGTTATGTGAAGCTAAGGCAACTGAATTTCTCCGCGCCGCGACATTTGTCGTCTCATTGAAGAAGGGGTGTGGGGCTCTGGTCGGCCCTTCCCCATTGTTGCCATAGGGAAAACAGATGTTCGAAAGTGCGTTACGCTTCTTTCGCCCTTTCCGTGAGGAGATTAGCCTAGGATGTGATTAGGCCGCACTCTATGGGGGCAATGAGCGGGATATGAAGCGTCGAGTTAGATGTGAAACGGTGGTTGTCATCTGTGGACACACCACACAACGGGGAGATGAGTAGGTGGAATTGGCTTGAGTAGATGGATATGCGCATATATGCACGGCTACAGACTTTGTCAGTCTGAAAACTCGGACTAATCAGAAGTCGCGTACCTCTGGCCGTTTCGTTTAGTACAGTTCCGGTCTTATAGCACCATGAACACTGTGAAGACGACGGTATCGAGGCGAGAGGAAGTCCCGTGAAACCACCCGCATATATGTAGTATATAAACAGCAGGTGTCCCCCCCGAGATCCCCTCAATAGAGGAGTTTTACCGATCCTCCATTTACCGCGGTTTTGGATGGATGGTCAAAGACGCGATGTTAATAACTTGTGAGGTTTGCGATTGCTGTGAGGAGGCCCGGGTGAGGTCAAGGTAGGAGAAGCGAAAGAAGGCGCGGAAGAGTGCTCACCCTGTCACATGTCCTCGAGTCCTCTACGGCACTGTTGTCGATGCACCAACCCAATCACACATTGAACGGTGAGTACCATGCCCGTCAATAGATGCGTTTATCTCTAACCTCTCATTCGCGTTAGTCATCTACTATAGCGAGGAACACAACGCAACGCACATGTATTGATGGCCTCTGACGATACTCTTCAGCTGCACTCCTCACGCAATCTCATGTCCCACCAACAGAAACAGCCTAAGCGCGTGATTAATCACGGGCGAGTCATTCAGCGCCTTAAAACGGCGGTTGGGCCTCTTCAGAGGCGAGAGGTGCATTTCAATTCGGGAGAAAAACATGAAAGCAGACGCAGAGGTGGTTGTAAAATTGGCCGATGCGTGGGAATAACTTTTCCACTGGCTCAACACTCAGGCCGGCCGGCTTTCTATGAAAACCGGAAAAAGACGAACAAGCGAGTAGTAGCCGGAAGGTGCGTTCGCTCACTGGCAATTGCAGAAGAAGACGCCTCCTGGCAGGGTTTCCACGGCAGATGCGTTTTTTCTACGGCGCTAGGGTTGTTGACTAGACATTGAAGAGCTTTGAGCACCTTTTACAACAAGGCTCGTTGACAGGTCGGGTTCGAAGTGGGATCTGCAATCAAGAACAAGCAACGCTCGTGCATGCCAGTGGCAGGCGTGCGTTGGATACAGTCTGCACCGTAGCGACCTGTTGAACACGTTAGTCGCACGGCAATACACAGTGGGTCAATAGAGTCGGAACTTGGCCTAGAGGTGCAGCGCATCAAGTTGGGTGTCATTGTGCTTGACGTGGGCGCAAATTGTGCATCTCAACTTCCCCGCGTACAGCGGGCCATGTGCATGACGTTGGACAAAGTAAAGCATTGTTTCATCTATCAACAAAACCCACTACGTTAGCAGTGGGAATTTACCAGTACCTACTACCTACATTATCCATGGCCACTGACCTAGAACATTCACAAGAGTGAAGCCCTTTCTTTTCTCATACGTATATACTGTCGGCGTGATTGTAATCAAAACTTCGTGGGCATCTACGTCTGTCCACACAGAGCGGCGAATTCTGGGTACAATTCGTTTTAATCTCTGGATACTTAGTAGTAAGCATATAAAAACTCACCGTTTTTGATGACTGCAAAAGAAGTGCTCTCCAGCAGAAGATTATACCGGGAGGTAAATGATACTTACAAGCCTGTTTCCCCGATGAATTTATAGCCACGTAACACGGATATACTAGAGTGCGTTGGAGGTGACGTCAAACCAAGTGGCGAACCTGGGAGCGTCGCGAAAACTCACCCCATGCATCCATATAATACCTCTTGGGTGTTACTTTCCCATCGGTGTGAAAGATTTCTCCCTCTTTCGCCGAGTGCCACGTCGGATCGTGAGCCCCCATAGCTAAGAGACAATAATCAGAAAAAAGCGTAAATAATACATAGTCGAGAGTTGAACGTTGATCACGCACTAGAGTCTAGAGTTGCTCTGAGCAACTTCGAAAAGCCTGGGGGCATCGGATCGGAAGCAGGTATCGGCTTCTGTGGACTACACACAATCGCCATAGGTTCATCCGCAGTAACACCTGGATAAGTATCAGAAAGAAGGTCGACGATGTCGTTATCCATCAAAGTATCTTCTCCGCTATCGTCTTTGAATATCTTCACATCACATGATGTGATTTCTTCAACCTGACTTAACCGGGCTTTCAATGAAGCGCCGTGATGGGGTGGCGGAAAGAAGAGTATGTTAATGCGACCCAGGGAGGTGTCAGTCTGATCAAAGGACGTCTTTGACGCGATCTCGCCGTCCTGGTCATAAATACGGTAATACACTGAAAAAAAGTTCAACGGATTGCCTCTGACAAGAAACAAGCGCGTACCGTAAGGTTGTTTGTGAGGCCAATCAGGAAATGTTTTCAAGTCCGCCTTCCGCGCCGCCAATCGCTTCTCGACCTCTGAAGTATCTACCACCAAAGGAATCGGGTCGAGTTCAGACGAACCCGAACCCTGACCTCGGGGTGGGAGACGGGCCAAGTCCTCTGCGGGCGTGTTCACCGACGAAGAGAGATACAGGGTGCAGGCTGGGCTACCATCAAAGCCCTCGACCTTCCAGAGATGCCTCTTAAGCGAGGCAACGTTACGCGGAGGCGTAATTGACTTGAACAAGATACGACTGATAGATCTATCATTGGAGTAGATGGGATTGATGGATTCAAGCGCATTGTCTTTCGCGTATATTCGATAGTAAACTCCGAATCTAATATGAGCTGCGGAATATAGATTCAAACGAAGGATGGTTCGCACTGTAAGACTTCCTTTCTTCCAATATCTGTGTCATTGTTCGTCATCAGCGAGTGGTATCGCACAACAAGCACACGCGGACTCACAGGCTCGATTCCTCCCCGACCATCCAAATGAGACGATGCGCTTCCAACAACGCTCATAGTATCAGACTTCAAAGACGGATGCGGGTAGGAGTGGGTGAATGATGGGGAGTTGAAGACGCTGCGTCAGGTCCATGAGAATTGGGCGGTGCCTTAGTGCTGTGCAGGGGCTGTGTTGCATTTGTCTAGTAGTCGAAACTCCCTCTATTAAACTTCTTGCAGACCTTCATGCTGAAGGAGACAGGGAAGCGGCACATGAAGGTGAAAGGTGAGATAAGGTCAATGAGCAGAGATGATCCCAATCTCTTCGAACAATGGCGGGATCTGGAAGTATGTCGGAATGTAGAGATAATACGAACCTTGAGGAAAGCGAAGCAACCCGAGAGGTATAATCCACCCACCAAACAGATAGTGGGTAAAACCATGCTGGTAAAGTTCTTGACAAACAAGCCCAGTACGTCGAATAGCCAGCTCAGTGGCAGTATATATATCTGTACCGGAGGGCATCCAATCTAAAATTCGAAAAGCAGATGTGGATGAGCCATACATTCTGGTTCCTCTGGCATCCCTTCGCAAACCTTTCTCATTATATATGGTGAAGCTAAAGCACTTGAACTTCTCCGCCCCGCGGCTTGGCCATTTTGTTGAAGAAGGGGGTGGGGCTCTGGTCAGCCCTTCCCCATTATTGTCCCAGACAAACATGCGTTTTTCAGGTCCGGTACGCTTCTTTCGCGTACACAGGGTCCGCCCTAGGGACACGATGTGATTAGGCCGCACTGTATGCAGCGGGCGGTGAGCTAGAAGTGCGGCGTGACTTATGAGACGGTGGTTGCCATCCGCGGACATTGCAGACAACGGGGATGAGTACGGGAGTGGTTTGAGTGGAGAATTTGCGGTCGCGGAGGAAGAGGGGGAGCTTCTCACATGGAAGCAACAACTCGATGTGATGTAGCAGAGGGCGTGAGGAGGACTGGTGCGAGGCGGAAACACTCCCAAGCTTCCAAGTCCTGCAACTCCGCGGAACGTGGGGTCTGGCTGACCGCTCGAAAAAGGGGTGAAGCAGGGCGTGCCTACAGAAGCATCCGTCACCCAGAGAGGACGTTGTACAGGATTAAGACAGTATATGTGGCATATGGAAGGAGAGAGGGAGGAAGCTCCGGCAACAAGGGGAAGATGCCGCAAAGTCCAACGATGCGTTAAAAACAATATTCGACAGCCGTGCCGCATGCATGCTTCCGGGGACTGGGGGTGATGCTTTGAGGGTTGGTCGCCCATCAGGCATTGTGGGGGTCCAGATTCGCCTGAAGAAAGATCATCGCAAGCCGCATTACGCTTCCAACGAACGACTCCAATTATTGCGCTTTAGTTCACAAAGTCAGAAACGGAACGTCAATAAACACACCTTGAAAAAGGTCCGACGGGGAGATTCCTTTCCATACTCAAGGTCTTCAGCGTATATATCCTCTCCAGATCAACTCCAGATCAAGGTGCTTCCAATCTTCGAGACCTGGTGCAGTCGTCAGCTGCGAATCCGCGAAGTTAAGTCACCATAAGATTGACCTGATTTTTTAATTAAAAGTCACTTGGTGACCTTCGTCACTTGACGATTCGATGCGGCTGGTTCCGTAGGTGGTGATGGAAAGAGACAACGACCAAAAGTTGAATTTTTACAAACGTTGATCAACACAAATTTGATCGACGTTGACGTCGTCCTCAACCACCATCATCGCCGCCAGCTTTTCTAGCCTTTTACCTACCATTCGCGCGCCGAGTCGGATTTACACTCAAATGTTTTCTACATACTTGATTTGCACTCAGGGGAAGTGGAGACGCAGGCTGTCCAGCTCTTCAATTTGACCCTCGCTTGGGTGAGTGTTCAATTCGTCATTAGGGTAAAGCTAATACGTGGAATTGAAAGATCACGCACGACGCATAAGCTTTGAAACTGGTCAAGGTTTTGGAAAGGCTATGTACCCCCGATATTAGGAACACAGGCAAAAGAGCGGGCAGCGGCAGTACGTGACGCCAGGCAATAACTGGAGCGGATACACAGTGAGCCTCCATGAACAGTCAGAGAAAGCTCATTCACGCTCAGAGTCCCCCCCTCCCCCCCCCAGTCCATCTTCCACCAAGATCTTTCCATTGCCACCCTTGAAAAATGAACTGAGGAGAAGAAGTGGTACTCGGCTGTCTCATCGACGACAAGTTTGTGCACAAATTCTTCCTGAATTGGGCACGCAGTAAAGGTCTGTGCGTCACAACATCCAAAGCTGCATGAGCGGCATCCTCACCCAACAATGCCCTCAGCCTCTGCTTGTACCCAGTTCCAGGAGGCCGTTGGAGTCGTGGACGCGGGCCGTACGTTGCTGGCTTGACTTTCACGCTCTCTTTTGGCCCTTGGGCGACCGCGTCTACGTTAGGGGAGGGCAGGTATCGTAGTCGAGGCTGGAGCGTGTGTAGTGGGCGCGTATCAAGCGGTCGATGAGGTGGCAGATGAAACAGCAACCTCTGAGGTCCGAGAAGGTGTGTGTGAAGCGACGTCGGATGGGGCGGTTACAGCAAGGGGGCTTGCATACTGCAGCTGTTCCAACTCCCGTTTTAAAGTCTGAAATTCGTTCGGTTTCGGGGAAAGGGTTACTTGGAGCAGCGTTCGACGCGGTAGATTTGCTTCCTCAAGGCCTCGTTGGCGCAAATGTTTTGAGGGAGTGCTTGCAATCAAGAGACACGGAACTTTGAGCAGTCGATTTATTTGACGGGGGAGAATCTATACACGGGAGGCTCTAGGGAGACCCTCTAGTAAGTTTGGTTCCTTTTCTGTTACCTCATTAGCTAACGATCTCATGTGTAGCTAGCTTCATTTGAGTACCTTTCAAAAGTTATAGCGCATTCCCTCCACCACTTCCGCCCCTTCTACTCGGACGAAAGCTACCCCCTCGACGTACAGCGACCGCGGTTCGCAAGATTTCACTCACTTCAGTGAAAGAGTCAAGATTTCCCTCCGCGACGTTCGCTCTGCCCTTACACATTTTCCACAACTCCCCTTTGCCAATCGTGCCCCTTTACTCCCCCCCACGCGGCAGCGGCCGCCATTGTCATGCGCCCGACATCCATTCCTTGCTTTCTTTCCATCAACAACGAACCGCGACCTTACTTCCTAAGGGTGCTATCGTCCTCCGAAGGGGCACCGTGCGACTTGCCTCTCTGCCTCGACTGCTCACCCCAAGCTCCCCCGGCCCTCCCCTCGGGCCCCTGATTTCTCGGATCATCTTACCCTTCTCCCCATTGCGTTGGAGATGGGGACGCACGCCTTCACCCTTCTTGTTTCGGTGCGAGGGTCAGGGCGGATCTTGTCGGATGATGGATGGGTCAAGTTACTCGTCTTGTTCAACGTCCGCAAGCGTACATCGTGGACGAGGTTCACAGGAATCCCCTTGGACGAGAAAGGCCGAAAGAAGGCGAATGTCGAGTTGCAGGGGCCGACGCATCCCGTTTACCCGTTGGTTTTCTCAACTTCTTTCTTTGCAAACCTGAACCAATTGGGAGCTCACGCTTTAATCGACGTGAAGCAGGCAAGGTAGATCTCAACGATGAGCAGAAGCTGCGCTACAACGGATAGTGTTTTTGGTGTGTGGAAGATAACGTACGAGCCTTCTTTCCACTTGGACGTTCTGATTTCAAATTTGAAAAGCTCTGTGCAATACTGGTAGGTAGGGCTATGTATACAAGACTTGACAAGTGTTTAGCACACAGCGCTCGAGAGACTGGACGATGTCAAGTGTTTGCGTTCGAAATTTTATTCTTCCTGAATTCAGCAACTTGCTGGAGCGCCTCCTCAATATCTGGCACTGAATCCGCAACACCTTCCTTCTCTAGCTGACGCTTCTCTGCTAGTGAAATATGTGCCCGTCTAAGAACTGCAACAGCATCCCGAATAGCTTGGACATTGTAGGAGTAATATGGAAGATGGGCTTTGCCATCTGGCGGGTTTCGAAAGACATGGCGATGTAAAATCTCGATTGTCTTTGGGCATTGGGAATTAGGGGGTAGGATCTATATTGCAAGCACAATAAGATGCTGCACAGGATGAAGGAAAAGACCAGATAAACCTTGAATACATGAGTTGCACGGGCTATGTACTTGATGTAGAACTCATTCGTAAGATGTCGAAAAGAGTGGAATTGAGGTGGGTCATTTCCATGACCTTCCCTCACCAACGCTGAGAGAACCTGGCCATCCTCCACGGAATCAAGAATTTCCGTCTCCAGCTCCCAAAAGGTCCATGTCAATTCTTCCACTGGTCCATCCTTCCCAGCGTACTCGATATCAATTCCGTTGGCAAGCTGAACGCCGCCATCTGACAAAGCAACCCATCGTCCACAGTCCTCAGCAAGCTTCTTCTTTGTCACTGAGTACGCAACTTCCCAGACGACTGTGGGAACACCAGCAACTTTGGAACTAGGATGGGCCCGGCTGAAAGACTCATCAAGAACAGAAAAATCTGGGGATTTGGCTCCGCTGTCTGCCATGGGGATGTCGGTGGAGCCGTACGGAACAATAGGCATCAGGCCATCAAAGTGAGATGGGTTGCATCCCAAGTTGAATAGTAGTGGACAGATAGCTTGCGTGGCCGAAGGATATCTGAGAATGAGTGTATTGGGAACGTAGTCGATGCTGCAATGGCAGCTAGAATAAGGACTGCCAAATCTACATTGAGATTATTGTACACACCGTAGCCTTTCAAATCCGGGTATTTCATTTTGTGCCACCCTTGCCTCCAGGTTGCAGAAAAGCTCAGGCGACACGCCAGATATGATCAACCTCCCCTCTGCTGTTTCCTTCAAAAATAGGTGAATACGGTCCAGAATTGTGTTGATATCAGACAAAACCAAGACAAAACATGATTGTCTGGTTGTAAAGTCGGCGTCGGTTCAACAGGAGAAAAGTGCTTGGGGGAAGACCGATCAGGGATATAAATTTGCGGACTGAAGGGCTTCATGGCGAAAGAGATAACAACACTGTAGGCAGGGCGCCGGGAACGGTGTTCATCTAGGACCCTGGTATATGCTATAGAATGTCCGATCCTTATGTGGACGGAAATGGGTCCTAAAATCGTCTCACCTTCGATCCTTATGCGTACGGAAAGCCCGAATTTTGGCCAGAGGTTTGATCCATTTTGCGTCTGTAAATTGCCAGTCGGTACGGAGGTCCGATCCAATTTTCGTACGTTTGTAGCTGTCGGCTTGAGTTGGGTTTGAGCTCAAAAAATTTCACAACCCCTCCCACATCTTCTATTTTCCCCAAGCCCTCTGAGCGACGCACCGCATCATCGTTCTCAACGATGATAATCCATTTGGGAATAGCGCGACTCAGCATCAGCCATTAATTACCACAGCGCTCCTTTCATCCCATTGCAATCTATTGCAATCAACGATGTCAGGATTTTGGAATATATTGGAAGGTCAGTTGCTCAACTCATTTTGTTTGCTAAATATATTTTTGAAGGTCATGCTTTCAGCAGGCAGTTTATTGTCGTCATTCATCCTGGCCCGGAACACAAACTTTCAGAGGACTTTGTAACTAGATCTTACTTGGCAATTCCGTGGCTCATGCAGCACTGCAATATGGAAACATTGCGAGGTTAGAAGGGATACTCTAACCTGATTACGACCGTTTTTTTACTTTATTTCTGTTTTATGCGGACATTTTGACCTAAATTCCATCTCTCATCCTCTATGTGCACGGATCTCGAGCATTTACATGTCCGATAGGTATTGCGGACGGAAATCGTCCAAAATGATAAGTAGGATCCGAATTGCGGACGGAAACGCCGAAAAATCGTCCGTACGTAAGTGCCAAAATTTGGCCGTTTTGGATCGGACATTTGACAGCATATACCAGGGTCCTTGTTCATCTGGGTCCTGGGGCCGGTGTTGGACGATCACGCGATCAAATTTTGCGACCTAAACAGATGTCACGTGAGCTTTTTTAATCTTATCTCCCATCACCTTTATATCGCGATCCTCGTTGGCCCGATTGAACGGTCCACAACTTTTTAACCCGCAGAACGCTGAAGGGTAGATTAGTATGGGTGGACGCATGCGTACGTCGTTATACTTGGTGCCCGTTTTATAGAACTGAGTCGTTCATAGACCGCCTACGTACCGACACCTCATGGTTTGATATACTCCAGTGGAGATCTTCCCTACTCCCTGGCGTGTCAAAATACAGCATGGCTCTGTCTCGTACCCAAGCTACGTGTGTCACGGTGTACATTGGGAGAATGACCGCGAAAAGGTCGGCGTAGGTTTTCAAATATCTCATGGCCGCCGTCAATGCCCTTAGCTCAAACGATGGTCGATGTTCCGATTATCACAACTGACACTTCTGCTCACACCGCAGTTTTCCCAGAGTTTATGACTCGACTCTCAATTGTATTGCTCGATCATCGGAAAACAACAATCCATTTACACGGTTATTGTATCGCCATGAATGTCGTAGTATGAATTCAGTTGACCAACTTAACAAAAGTGTTGAAGGCACACCTCGGGGGTGAAATACCATCGGGCGACGTCATGAGGGTTATTATTGTTCTATCTGGGAACTATGTGAGAAAGGGTGTAATAATTTCCCCCGAACACTGACTTTTATTGTTTTAATCCAGGGGATCGCCGGTGCAGGGGCGCGTCTTTACAATAAGGCTCAGGCAAAGTGCGTATTCAGATATTTTCATCACAGTCAATGTCTCACGGAGTGCGTTGAATTCAGGAAAGGCCGTTGTATATAAAGGCAGCTTCGTTTATCGACAGAAGATCACGCTCTTTGGAACCTAAGTGCCTTCGAACTCCTCTTTGTTCTTCACATCCTCCCATACTATTCTCATGGATTCCTTCGCCACCCTCTCCATCTTCTTTGCCGCCGTCTCTGGCCCTAGTGATATCCCAACCAATGCCGACGATGGCGGCAGCGGAAACAACGCATATTGCGTAGTGGCCTAAGAGTACATCACTCAGTACTCAGTACTCATCCCTAATACGAGATTACGACCCCTGTACGTTGCCTGCCTTTTTTTGTTACTTTTCTCTGAGTCCTCACCTCTCGACTGTAGAATTTTGCCATGATTTTGAAACGACGTTCAAATTACTTCACCAATCGCAGCCAATATTTATTCATTCGGCATTTTCTCTCATATATCGGGTGTTGGAAGGAGTTATTAGCCGTGGCCCATCAGGCATCGCGCGTGCTACACTATATTATTACTTACCTATGTATCATCCGCTGCTAGTTGTTTGTCTACTTACTCGTATTATTTCTCCCCCGCTTTGTTGTTGTAGGGTTCGGGAAAGAAGATATATTCCTTGGCAGAGAAGAAGACGTCAACGTTGGAGCGGGCTGTGGCCCCGAGTTACCATCCGCTATCGCTTTTCACACGAAGTGCGGCTGATTCTTAAATCTCATAGAACCCTGTTTGCTTTGCTTTTTAACAGTTCTTTTCCTTGATTTTTGATGACCAGTTCAAGCGATTCATTGAGAAAATGAACTCATATAGACGCACGGTGGTTGAAGTTGAAGTACACTAAACCTTGTCGAACAACCACCTCTGCTTTTCGTTGAGTGTCGCTGCTCCAGCTCCAATTGTGACCTTAAATTTGAATTCTCAAATAAGGTCAGGCGAAGACTTTTGAAAACGCACTAGGGAGTTAGCGTGGGCAACATCCAGTCCCCAAAATTGGGTGACTCCACCGTCTTGAATGCTGATTGTAACTTATAAGCACTTCTCGTTGACCCTCAGGTGAATAACGTACGTGTACCCTTCGTCGGTGTTCCGAATAGTCCAGACGTAACCCCCCGCAGGGAGGACAGTGACGACACCGCTTCCCCAAGCGGCTGCAGGTCGGGAGCATCTGCGGGCGTTACGTACTGAGTTTTTGTGTCGTAGTCCTTGATAACCCACTGCGAAACGTAGAAAATATATCAAGGGAGGGAATTCGAGAACTTTTAAACGACGTACACGTTGTGCGCTGGTGGCGGCGGTCGTAGGGGTCACTGTGGCAGTCTTGCCTCTACCGTTGAACGTGATGGCGAGCATCTCATCGTTGGGAGAGAGAACCCTGTTCACGATGATGTAGGTACCAGGCGCGAGTTTCGACATGTTTCCAAGTGGGGTCTGAGAATAGTAGAGGGGGTGAGTGGATTTGGGAGTGGTTTGAAACTTCGGACATACTTATAGAAAATCGAGGGTATCTCAGGCTGTCGCCTGCGAATTTCGGCATTCAAGGGGGAAAGTTGAAGCCTGACAGTCCGAATGGTTTGGCGAATGGTCATATGAGTTGCCGCAGCGCCCGTGTCGCCAAGTCGTCAACGGTAGGCAGTTTACGCGCACAAGTCGTCCGAGTTTGCCATTGTCATTTTTCATGGATAGGTGGGACGCATGCCAAGCCAGAGGTCTTCAGATTTGTGGCCTTTCCACGGATTTTTGGAGGGATGATCGTTGTTGATTTCGGCGCCTGTTGGCGGCATGGTCAGAGTTTGCACCTAATTATGGTTGCTTGTTTGTCGAATGTCATTCGTTAGGCAGATCCAAACGCCGAAATCCGTTTTTGAACCTGCTACCTGTTTGAGTAACGTTGGCATTCCAAAACTCTTAGACCTTTGATGACCTTACTCACCTAATCGTCGTCGGTGGGCAGAGAATTAGTCATTTGACTTGCGATCCCATACGTTCGAGTTGAAGAGTTTTGGAAGTCAACTCACCCTGGACAGCGCACGGACCTTGGCCCGAGTGAAAAAGGCTATGAACAGATCACCATCCAGCCCCATGTCACGGTACCAATGTGCCTCATCTTGATCATAATTCTACAAAATTTCAAAGCTCCTCTATGCCCCAAAGTAGCTACAATCGCGGATACGGATCAATCTTACGGAGTTTATTGAAGAAGTCAACTTGGGCGTACACTTTCATGTATGCGTACGAATTGGGCTTGGGTGCTGAGCGCTGAGCTTCTATCGCCTGAATGAAAGATTTGTGTCAATCTTAGCGAGTGAGAGAAAGACACGATCTCCCACTTCACCATTCGAAGCCGTGCACCCACTCATACCAGGATCTGGGAGAGACGAGGGTTAAACGTTAAGCGCTAAGCATGAGTTCTATGAGTTCATGTCAGTAAAATCGATTGGGCCCTCCGGATGAAAGGTTACTTACGCCATTCCCGTCATCGACTCAGGTTTCATCCCCATCGCCATCAAACCACCTTGACTGACTGCGTTTACAAGCGACCCTCGTCACATTCACGGATGTGAAGTGGTCAAATCAAAGATCAGGCAACGATGCCAGAAGTAGAGAGGAGGCTGGGTTTGAGGGTATGAGTGTGACGCCGAAGGTGAAGTGGTGAGATACTCATGTTGAGGCATCGTCCGTGCGCGCATGGAAGGTCTGAATGAACACACGATAGATTTTCACGAGCGGCTAGAGATAGGTGACAAAATTAACATTCGACCGTTCCGTCACTCTCATGATGGATGGCACTATGTTCGTAATGTTCATCACCACCCCGCTTGGCCTGAAACTCCGCTGTCATTGTCAATGGTGGGGTGGTCATCGATTGTCAACATGTGATATGGCACGGGTTCGGCCCTTGTCACGAGCGGTGTAAGTGTAAGGATTGTCCGATGGATACGACAACCTAAAATTCTTGCATGCCGGTCGTTCACGAATCGTTCTTGCCAGGTGATGAGGTGAAAACGTTTTGAGATTTGTCTGTGAAGGACTGGGCGAATACGTGGTAAGCCAAATTTGACCGACCGGTAGAGTAACGACAGCGAGACTAACCTTCCTCGTTCCATTCCGATCCTCACCGACGCACCCACAAAAACTCCTGCTCCTCCTGCGTCCCAACTCTTGGTCATTGTCGCACTTGCGCAAAGATCCGCCCCTTTTCGTCATGGTCATGCTCGTACAGGGTTTGAGGAATATTCAGAGCGCTAAAGAGAGTATGAATTAAGTTGTACACGGAACGTACTGAAGCCAGGGGATACTGGCCTTTTCTCTCCCCATCGTCTCCAAGCTCTTTGTCGCCACCCCACTGAGCGTTGTTCAACACGGGGAACGCTTCTCGTCCTCTTTCCGTCGCCCTCGGTTTCACTATACTTCGCTGTCATGTTTGACTCTAAAGCGTTCACCCCGTTGAGCTCGTTGGGCCATTGGCGTTGTGTTCCCCTTGGGCGACATATCGTTTCAAGTTTTGCATGTCAATTGCTTCTGTAGTCGACGGCGATGCATTTATGTCTAGTAAGAATAAGTTCATTCAAATCGAAAAGAATTCATACAAGTTTGACTGTCAACACAATTTGTGTTGGAGGAAAAGAGCAGCGTTGAAGCCAAGTTGAAGCTGAACGCAGGGATTTCTTTGTGGCGGTGCACAAAAGCTGCCGCTAAACACGAATCAATACACTCCTCTTTTCAGATTCCATCCAACCTCCGTCCCACGCTTGAAGCTCCTACATTATGTGAAGGAGGCTTTGAGAGCACACGGTTTTGACTGGTGGATGAGACCTGAGAGTCCAAACTGGACAGTGGGGAATTGATTGGGGAAATTTGCAGGGGAAGGCGAGAGTACGAGTAAGCACGGACGGACCCGGTATGTAACACTTTCGCAGAACTCATATGATGCCATGCTTATTCTTTGGCCAGTATTCGTATGAGCATCGCCACTTTCAGAGCTCTCCGCGATAGAAGCGATCAGGAGAGGCCTCAGGCCTGAAGCTTGAAGTCTCGGACTGCAGGTGGAACATCATGCTGGCGACAGAAGGATGTTTGGCTTTGAAAAGGTGGGATCGGGGAGGGAAAGTGGATCTGGAATGTGAGTGCGTCGTGTTCGGTCGTCGACAATATATCTCACGCTCGGTGCTATTCTTGTTTTCGATCATCGCATGCCGACGCTCACGCAGGCGGTTTATAGTACGGCAAGGTAGGAGTGCATGGTGATCTATCAACCTACTATCCTGGCGAATTACCCTTTAGATCTTCCTTGCCTTCCCTTTCGTACCGTACCACGCGTGTCAGTACGCCCATCTTCTCTCAATTGAGTTCCTATCTCATTTCGCTTTGCTAACTTCACAGCTTATCCGCTTTCCAAGGACCCTTCCATTCGCAGATTTTTAACAAAACCTTACCGGCGGCCGGAGTTCCCTCAAATGGTGTAAAAAGACTATTTTAACAAACCATACTGATTTTTCATCCAGACATTTTACCCCTTGAGGCGCTGTCGTCCCGGTGTTTGAGCAATTCTCGCGTCTTGGACCGCCCGCGCGATAGATGATGCGAGGATTTGCCGTGATCACGATGAAATGAAAATGGTGGCTTCAACCTGTAGGTATATATATACCTTTCCCTTTCGTTCATGCTTAATATACCTACTAGCGCGAAAGGATCTTCGCAATGTAAATAATCTTCTTCAAAAGCGCGGGATCTAAACCAGCGGAGCTCTCCTGATCGAGAGGTCTAACCGCAAATTTTGGAACGGCGTTCATGGAAGAGATCGCAGTACGTGTGAAACTTTGTTGTGCGAACCTTGATGGAAAATACTGTATGATAGGAAAACCTCTGCGGATATGCCCTGTACTCACCACCGCCAGCCGCCACCCTTGTTCAGATGGTACTCACCATCCTTTGACAATCACGAACCACGCGCATACCTCACCTTCCTCGACGATCTCATGGCTCCGCCTGTTTGTCGAACTCAATTCTTACCACATCCCTTGAAGCTGACCAATACTTGTTCCTTGCTTGTTCCAGGATATTCCCAGCCTGCAGCAAATTCTCTTCTTCACCTTTTTTGACAATTGCGTCCTGATCGCAGGGTTCACAACTTTGGTGAGTCAATTTTTCATTGATTTGTGCGCCGCTCATCCGTTCTAGACGTATGACTATATTTGCACCATAAAAAAAGAGGTGAATTAGATCCAATATTCGCTCATGATTTTGACAGTGACATAAAAGGTGACCTACGCGTGGTCATGCCCATGGTCACTTGGCCTGGTTTTCTTCTACCTAAATCGTTATCTTGCATTCATTGACCAATCCATTTTGCTGTACAGTAAGTTCATCTCTCGTAGCTCTAGAAAGATGATTCACCTAACCAAGCTTAATCTTCGCAGTCAAATTTGGGGTCGATTGTCCCAAGGTCCGTTGTTGGTCAGACGTTGGCCTCGATACAAGCCCTTGAGTTGATTTACATGTGTTGTAGACCTGCGTTAGACTGTACGGCATTGCATTGGGTTCGTTACTAGCTTCCTTCTAAACGAATTTTTTGACCAAAAGGTTCCCAGCTACAATGTCTCTTGGGTTGTTATCTTGTCAAGGTATTTCCTTCCTCAACGCTGCTTTTGCTTCATATCTCAATCATCCCTTTCAGCGATTATCGGCCTGAGAACCTGTGGAATGTGGGGAGGACAACGATGGATAATGGTAGTGCTAGGGATCGTATTATCAGTGGGTCATCCTCATGCGTCTCGTCCCCTTCCACTTACGATCTAAACACAGATATCCGTAATTTTTGCAATATGCATAACGGTCCTGGAAATAAAATCGGTAACTGGTCAGTCGTACTCTTTTGCGTCATCCCTTTCCTCATACAGTTGTCTTAGTCGAGGCGACCCCTCTGGGATATTTCATGGTGGAGTCTACGACTCTTAGTCTTTTAGTATTCATATTCATTCTCCTAGTGGAGTCAGGTATGTGAAATCATATTCCATAACAGGGTTCTGCTTAGCTTCGATGTAGTGATTGGGGCGTTAACGATTGTCAGAGCGTGTTATTATTGTAAGTCTTCAGTACTCAGTTTCCGCTTCCGCTACATCCAAATTGCCTTTCATTTCCAGTCAAACAATCTAGATCTCAATGGGCACGACAACTTTTTAGCAGTGGTAGGTACCTTCGGTACCATCAAGTCAGATGGCGTATCCCTTACCCTACTTCGACAGGGATTTTTTATTGCCTTTGCATCGTTTGTAAGCACCTCGCCGAATATGAAGTCTACCCGCTTCGGTTATGAATCTTTTTCCTTATCAGCACTGAGTCTCGTGAATGTTCTGCTATTATGCATCCCATCCGTATGTTGCCTTTGCCATTTCATTTCAGCGCAGTCTAAGTATCAGTTACTCATAACGAATAGGCTGGGCCTTTCCGTATGGGCATCTTTTGGTACGAAAATCTACAACCTGTTCGTCCTTCCCGTGGCTCATTAGCAAGGGATAGTCCAACACGAGTCTTTCACTCTATCTTCGGGAATAGAGTAATGCTTTTGATTCTCCAGCAACGATATCGCGAACTGCAAAGATCCCAAAATTTGCATAGGAGTACTACGTCGCCTGGTTTTCTGACAACAGTGGGATTCGATTGGGAGTGGGATACTGTCCCAAGAGACAGCATTGAGCTTGGTCAGCGGCCTGAGGAGAGGGAGGAGGAAGAGGATTTTGCTGAATTAAGCTCAGACTGATTATATGAATTTGTCAAGAAATTAGATGAGCTAGCCCACATTGGCCTCACAATCACAACAACCATGGTATGAACATGAACGCCAGCGATGCCACTATTTTGCACGCAATAATACGTATGTAGGACTACCAATGGCATATATCAAAAACAATACAAATGGATTCCAACCTCGTCAATCTCCCTCTAGAAATTCCCAAAGCTCTGGTAATAAGCCGCTGACGCCTGAGCATTCGCGACCATAGCGGCAGATACCATGTTGGCCCTCGCCAACCTAAACATAGCTGCATTATTCATAGCGTTTACTTGTTGAAGTTGTCGGAGTTCAAGAGCGTAGTTTTGTTGGCATAATGAAATTTGATTATCGATCCCCGACTTCCATGCGTATGGAACGTCATAGTGAGATGCTCCATTCTCATAGGTGACCATGAAATTGGATGTCGTAGATGGTGATAGTATAATGGACTGCAGGGAGGTTGTAGACTCGAAATGGCATTCTACGAGGAAAGGACGAACCTCGACGTTAAAACCGACAGAACGAATATTCTTCAATTTATCTATGAGAGACGTGGATATTCCCTCGACGCTCATGTCCCCATCCTCATACACGATAGACCAGCTATTGTTGTGGCCAATAGAGACCATCTTCATTTGTGACTGCTTATTATGGGTTTTAAGGTGGTCATCGAGCGTTTTTGGTAGTTTCTCAAAAATATTGTGCGAGACGCCGTTGTGACGTACTACTCCAATGAATCCTTGGCCGTCGGGAGTAAATGTGATCCACGCAATGTTTCCAAGCCCCGTTTCGCGCCCGGTCTTCATGGTGGCGACGTGGCAAAACCGAAGGACGCGACTTGTCATGGGATCATTCCCGGGCTTTTTCCCTAACAAGTGTAGTCTCAGTAAGATGGCGGGCGAAGGTGTGGAGACGTGCTTACTGTTGACTGAATCAGTGCTTAGGAACCAATCGCCATCGTTTCCAACGGAGACGCTCAGTATTTTTTCATTCTTAGAATGCGCCTCCTTAATTGCGGTGACAAGATCTGGAGGAGAAGTGTTGGTCCTGTTGTTAAATGAGTCAACGGGAAGCAATATACAGGCTGCATAAACGAACCACCACGTCGATGAGCCGGACGAAGCAACGCATCCCGGAGAAGACTCTGACAAGAAGGAGAAGTATACCATGATGGTGAGGAGAGTCGAGGATGAGGCTCGCTCAATTGGTTTCTTGCCGCAACACTGCCAATGGGGTTGTGTTACTGAATGTAAAAATAGATGAATCTTATGGGAATGATGCATGATGGTCCCTTGTACCCAAGATTTATTTTCAAGATATTTTTAATTTTGGTTTCCAAATCACGTGAACATTACTTTTGATTGGCTACTGCCCAGTCTATAGTATTTTCCTTCAAACAACGATTATACCACTACCGCCGACACGTTCAATCTGTCTTGAGGCCTTTCGAATCTCAGCGAACGTGAATCGTTGCGCCGAGACCTCCCTCAGGGCTACTCGTGATCGCGACGGGCGCATCCAAGCGTATCATGCCTAGTTCAATATGGGCGTCCAACGACGATCGTTCCGTTGCCCATCTGATAATTTCGCTTCTGTCACGCTCCTCAAGGATGGGAGCTTGGAACTCAACTCTTCTCGGGCTTTGATCAATCGGTGTTGGTAATTGGGCCATTTGCAACACCTTAGCCTTGCTCATTTTTACCTGTGGGCAAGTTTAGCGTTGACAGCGTGTACGTTATTGGTTCACAATGCACAAATCGTTTGACCCTATACTTCTTTCTAGTCTTTACCTGCGCGTCAACTCTCTTCCCAGACTGTGCGCTTCCGTGGGTCGCGTCATGTGCCCCAGATGTCACAGGGGTGGGAGTTCGTTCAAGTAGCGCGCACGAGAAACTAAGCTGTGCATGAGTCAGCCGAAACAACCGAATCTGTTATAACATCCTGTCAGTTCATTGGTACAGCCCCGCAGCCGAACAAGTCAATGTAGCCAGCAGCTAGGTGTGGAACGCTGTGCACTTCGAACGCCATTAACCAACCTCATTCCAATCCTTTCGTCTTGGCTTGAACGAGAAGATACAGGTGAGGTTTATCTTCCACCCCTTGGCCAACTCTAACCTCGCGCAGGCATGTTGAGATTGGAAAGGTTTCCCGAACTATGGTTTGAGGATGGGAACGTTGTCTTTCAAACGGAAACAGGGGAATTCAGGGTATATCGGGGCATTCTCGCTGCTAGATCCTCTGTGTTCAGGAATATGCTGTCGATCCCCTATCCCCGTTCATCTTTTACACAAGCAATACAAGATGACGAACAGGCGATCCGCCTTCCTGACTCTGCCCAAGAAATTCGCTCCCTCTTTTCTGCGATTTTCGATTCCTCGTAAGCGTTTCGTTTTAGTTTCCCCGTCGGTTTTCTCTGAGTCTTGATGATTCCACCAAAGCTTTTTTGAACGACCACCAGTCAAAGCACGTCTAAGCGTAGTATTGGCAATCGCTCGTATGGGTCATAAATACGACGTCGCGTATCTTCTAGACCGCGCCCTAGAACACCTCGCCATCTCGTACCCACGGACGCTCGATAATTGGGATAAACGAGATTACATGCGGAGCATCATACATGAGGTTAAACACGGTGTTACAAACAATCTCAGCGTCCTCAACACGGCTCTTCAAATAAACGCAACGACGATCCTCCCAGCGACCTTCTACGCCTGCGCCAGACGCGATCTGAAGGACGTACTGGATAACAGGGGGTGGTGTAAATTAGGGGAAAGGCATAAACGGCAGTTCCTCTTGGGGTACGTGAAGCAGACTTCGGCTTGCAAGGCTTTCCACAGATTTCTTCGATGGCCAGAGGACGAGGACTGTCAGGAACCATCAAAATGTGAGCGGAAATCAAGGGCTTGGGAGGCATCGAACGAGGACTGGTTCGACCATGATCCGCTGGAGATATGGGATAATTGGGATAAAATGGCGGTGGACCTTTGTGGACCATGCATTTTGGGTTGTAAGGAGCAATATCTGATTGCTCGTCAAGAATTCTGGGACTCCATCCCGGAGTTGTTTGGGTTGTCGGGATGGGGGGCAGCTGAGGAGATGGATCAAACAACGGCGGACTCTACGTGACTACGGCTACTTACCTACTTACGCCATTCATAATGTTCACATGGTGTACATCATAATATTTCCTTTCTGCATCGCGCCTCTTTCTCATTTGGCCTTCTTGTGCGACCAGGAATATTGAGATAAGCCGCAGTAAGTGAACAATCAGCCTAGGTAAGTTCAAGTTGCGACTTTGCGCCCCTTCAAGGCGACTGTTACAGTATTTCTTGAGGAGTTGAAGTAGATAAGTGATACAATTATATTGTTCGTACAATCACACTTAGTACCAGACACTTACTCAAAGGACTGTGAGGCGACAGCGTGAGAGAAAGATGGGAGGGTATACTTAGATTTTGACCACAAGTCTACCCGGCATTTATGTATCACCGGCCTCAGGCCTCATGCACATGCCTGACAGTGATATCTAGACGCTCGGCCTGTCCACGTCAAAAGTAGCTTTACCCAACCTGAGCGTTTGGCTGAGAAGCTCTTGACGACAACAAGAGCTTTTATGTATTTATGTACATAGATTCAATTCTTAGAGATTACTTGTAGCTTGTGAACCCCTCTGTTGGACTTCAAGAATTTGAAAAACCAAACCATAGAATCACAACGTGGCATGATTCTAAGTATATCGAAATCCCACCATAATGTTGATGAGATGTCCACGTGGCACCAGGAAGACTTCATGCTCCGTCACGAAGTAAGCTTCGGCTGTATAAAATGTGAGGGTATCCTTGTGTAAAAAACCTCCGCTCGTTCACGCCCAACTATCATCCCAGTTGGTATGACAGGTCAGCAACGTTTTGATTGACAAATTATTTGGTTTCTCACACTTAGACGCTGAAACAGACTTAGACGCTCCAAAATTTGAAAAAATTTCAGAATTATGGTTTGAGGATGGAACCATAACCATCCGAGTCGAACATGCGGAGTTCCGTGTGTATGGGGGAATCCTCGCGGCAAGATCATCCGTCTTTAAAGATATGCTCTCATTTCCACAACCGCAACCCCCTACAAAAATCGATATTCTCAAAGGTAGCACTCCGTCAATCTCGCTACAAGACTCAGTAGGAGATGTCCATGTATTTCTTTCTTCCATTTTCGACTCTTCGTGAGTTTTTCTGCCGACATGCCGTGCTGGCTAATAAAAATTAAAATCTAATTAGATTTTTTGAACCACGACTAGCGACGGTAGATCTGAGCGTGGTTCTAGCAATTTCCCGTATGGCTGACAAGTACGACGTTCCATACCTCCTTCAGCGTGCCCTCGCACATCTGGCAGACTTCTACCCGCGATCGCTTGAGGACTGGGACAACCGAAAACGAGTTGGAAGATTGGAAAGCCTCAGCGATCTTGACGACGACATGAGCGTCCTCCAAACTGCGTTGAGGATCAACGCGACCGAGATCCTCCCAATCGCTTTCTATGCAAGCGCCAGACACGACCTGGACCGAATCATAAATCATCGACGATGGAGTCATATAAGAGAAGACTACAGATTTAGGTTTCTCGTCGGCTATGTGAACCAATCGTTGGCTTGTCGAGCAATGCACACATTTTTGCACCTTTCGGCGGTGGATGGATGCACGAGTCCGCCTGCATGCCAACGCGGGCTGCAGTTTTACACAAAGCACAGCCACATTTGGCCCAAACAGGACCCTCTCGAGGCGTGGAGCGGCTGGGGTTGCTTGTACCTCGATGTCTGCACCGCTTGTTTTACAGCCTGCAAGGAAAAACATAAAGCGGGACGTCAGAAATTTTGGGATGGTATTCCAGTTATATTTGGTTTCCCTGGTGCAGGCGAGGGCGAAGAACTACATTGAAACGTGGGGGTGATTTTGCCATTCACAAGCTTCTTATAGCCGACACACACTCCTCGTCCGCTTGTTATGGTATTTACGTTTGTGACACAAACATGCATTACCGCGAAAAGTCGTTTGGGGGATAATCCAAATTCTGTAAATAGCCGCTGCCACACCTGGAGCGACAAAGAAAAATGATGGGAAGAAGGGAACTCGTTCGCCGAACAATTCATCCGGAAAAAATTGAAATGACGCGTCGATTGACGCGTTCGGAGGTCCTCAAAATGTGAAACTTGAGAAATCCCGTCAAGTACGGCCTGTTATTGCCGCCTGGTGGTGGTCACGATCCTGGCCAATTGAACCATAAGTAATGGAGACGGAGACGCGGCGTGAAGTCACGCGAAGGCCTCCCCCTGTTCTACAAAACAAATTATGCGGGTTGTTACATAGATGAGACCGAAATAAAAATAACCCCCTTGTATCCACGGCATGCGAGCCGAAGAATCAAGATAAACAAGATGGTCTGCACAACTTGAATTAAAATCTGGAAGAGGTTATACGCGTCAAGCCGTACTCTGGGAAACGCGAGTCGGGGATGTCGAGCGCTATTCTGTTGTCCACAGTCGAAAGGCCGCGTCTCGCCTTTTCCTTCTCCAGGACAGGCCGGATTTGCCTCTTGCCAAGTTGGAAATTTTCATCATTCTCACTAGAGTTTCATGCAATGTGAGAAGATTTTTTGGTCGAGGGGAGTAAGTAGTAGAAGATCCTCCGGCTCCCCGATTTTCATTTGAAAAACGCAAGAAAAGGCGGAAAGAGTGGTGACGGCGCTTCTAGATGTATACTTGATCAAGGCGTTGTGGTGAATGAGCCAATGTCGGCCGCAGAAGCAACAGCGAAGCCACAGAGGGAGGGTGAGTCGTCGATGGTAAGACCGTCGTTGGATAGACCGAATTCGCAACCTCTGTGACGCCATGTGCAAATCCAGCTTGCATTTCGTATGCGCAGCCCTTTGTTTTGATAGGGAAACCGACACGTTTTGTTGTAGTAAGTTCTCTGGAGTCGAAAATGATGCGGTTTTGAATTACCCCCCGTACCGCCACCAAACGCTTCTTCCTTCTGTGTGCATGCTGCCAAAAGGACGCGGTTGTCTAAACCTCTTCTAATATATCCTGCTGCAGCGCTCGATCCACGGGACCCACTCGCGGTCTAAACGAGATTCATGTGATCCAGTCAAGGGTAGGTCGAGAGTATATTGTCCCTATGTTCATTCGCAATTCCGTTCAGTAACGCTATGAGAGTATGGTCGGTGATTCCGTGAACCTGCCTTGCAGGATTATTGCTGTAGTCCTGCGGGATGATCACCTGTATCTAGTTAGATACGTCTCCGGAATGCGATCCGGTCGGAGCGTCAGTTTCGTCACCGCGTCCTGCAAAGAAAATCAAGATCAGGTCGTTCTTCTTTATACCTTTGTCGCTTTGAAAAGTTTCCAAGAAGGCCTTGATGATTCGGCGCGCTTGGCATTCTCGTCGGTCAAAAAGTGGATATGAGAATCGGGAACTTTTACAGCTTGAAGTAGATAATCGCGCACGTCGGTAGTATCCTTAAAACACCCGTCCAGAAGGTTCAGGCCTTCGGGATTGTACCCATCAATGCCGATGATGAGAGCGAACAGTGACTTCGTCGCACCATGTCGTCGTCAGTAATGTCAGACTACGGGATGAAATGCAACGCCTTACTGATCTGGGACAGTGATGATTGGTGGGGGGTTGACCGTTTCCACGATCGGGCCACTGATATGAAACTGATGAGAGTTCAATTACAGTTGAATCTGACGCCGTGGCCTCACGTTGGCTGGGCCATTTACCAAGAGGTGTCAGGAGAGTTCAGCATAACTGAAGACATTTATCTTGAGGCTATGGAAAAACATGGAGGCGGAAGATGAGTCACGCCAGATTCGATCCAAGCGGTGCTTTATATCTTGCGCAAGTGTCACGTCACGAGATCATCCATAGGCCGGTGCTTCGACTGGATATGTCTGGTGCGTTTGGAGCCGGACGCTCAAAATAAACTTCTCCGCCACTAGCACTCCTCGGAGTGAGGTATCCAAGTCTACTGGCATCGATAGGGATAGTTGAAGAGGTTAGAGCACCTTTAACAATGCTGCCACTCAGCTGATAGGTCGCAAGCGAAAAACAAGGTCGCCTCCAAGACGTACGGCGGAGAATTTGCTACCTCATCGCGTAGATCATTTGCAGTGGTGAACGAGTCTCGAGAGATTGGAATGCACTTGCGGCTGCCAGTGGATTCTCACGGATGCGTCATCGCAGGACAGCATTGCAATTTCGCCTGCATCTGCGTACAACTTGCAGCCTGCTCTAGGCGCACTAATTACGCACCAATTGGTGAGAGCAGCGTTTGACGCTTGTCGCTCGAGTCCGGAATGTGCAAGTAACTTCCGGGGATTAGGATGGCTTTCTCTCGATCACAGCCCTAAACAAAATTTCTGTCAGTGCACTTTTCACCGAGTACGCTGGAGGTCATGTTTGCCTGACTTACGCTAACTTATAAGCATACTAATCCTCTAGTTGCCAATTTCACGACTTCGTTGCAGCGGATGAACGTCCATTTCGAACGTGGGTGAGTTGTTAATCTCGGTGACTCCCGGTCACCTCAAACATTTTCGATACTGAGAGCGAGTGCTTCCACAATATGCACAAACTCGTAATCCCGACGGGTGTCGACCCCCATCGATAAAGACGGATGAGTTTTCCCAACTCTCCGAATCCCGAGGTGTTTGGTGCCAATGTAGATCAGCGAGATGAGTGCCCTCATGGATGGATGACAAGGTAAGGGCCTTTTTTGGTCGAAATGAAAGCTCTTGTTCCCAGAACTCCTTCACAACTGACTGCACATGACCAGGTTTAAGCGTCTTCACCACACATAGACATGTCAGACGACGAAGTGAGATCTTCGCGTCCGAGTCCTTCGCCTACCGTTCTTTGGGTTTCCTGTGTGGTTGAAGGTTGGGAATCGGTATGTGTGGGACAGGATGTCGGGTGTGATCGCCCGCAAAATCCGAGGTTAGCAAATTTGTCTCAAATTTCAATTTGTAGAAATTTATGGTGAAAATCGCATGGTCCCTTTACATGTGACTGTTTCTTGGCGGCGTCCTCGAGAACCGGTCAAAATGGATCGATGAGCCATCCAAGAGGATAAACAACGATCCACGTACCTAGAGATAATATAGAGAAGCATTCACATATATTATATGTACACGGAGTATTTCTTGGAGCCGGGGGTCCACAGCAACAACTGAGACTTGAAGCGGACAGTGTGGTATCGGTTCAGGAGACTTGTAGCGCCTAGACTCGGTATCAGATGATCTACCAGCATCATAGACGACGAAACACTAGGCTAGAAATCCTCGGGAAGAAAGGTCATGAAGTATTGCCGCGTGCGCTAGCCTGAAGCAACGGCGCTCAGTAGAAACGTATGTAGGCGTAGAAGGCTCAACCCTTGATGAAACATGGGATGCTGTGGCGAGGAAGACATCAACAAGGTACAGCGTCAGGGTCACCAAGAGTAGTTGTTGTGAAAGGTTGTAAGCGGTACTTTGGGGTCTGGAATGCCACAACGCCTGAACCGACTGTCTGCGAAGCTGTTGGGGGTCCACGGGGCGCCGAATGATTGTTGATCAAGAAAGGTGTGAGCGCTTAGAAAGATTTCCGCGAAGTCATTTGACGAATACCCGATTGACTACCAGATTGAAACACGAGACGTCGCGGTGAAATAAAGGCGAAAGCCAATATCACGAGACACGAAAGGGCGTTGACCAGCACAAAGCGAGACTCCTCCCGTGCGGTAGCCACAGCAAATCATCAGGGCGTCCTCAAATGGGAGAGAGTGCAGATTGTGTTGAACCCATCCTGTGAAATGGAGCTCAAGAATTTCAGCTCCTGTGATGCAAGTAAGAAGTGATCTAGAAGAGGGTCCTTGGTCGATGTTGTGATCCCATAAGCGCCCAAAAGGCCCCTTTGTGAGAACGCACTTTGACTTGAAGATACAAAGCGGACCACGAGCAAAAACGGTGAAGTATTCGCATCTCGACTTGAGTATGGTAGTTCAGAATTGACCGGTCGTGAAGAGGACTTCGGTTTGAAGATAGCAACCTAGCATAGCAGTTCCTCCTTCATTGGAAATTTCAAGTTCCCTTCGCGCTGTTCGTCGAAACGTTGAATGTAGAACAGACAATTTGCATAAGAAGCGCAATAACGAGTACCTCGCTACGAGCGAAGGGGCATTCGACGGAACAGAACGCTCAGTGCATGGTCGGCGAGACATGACCGGAGTTGAGAGAACGATCCGCAAAACCTTTATCCTGTCGATTGTAAGAGTAAAAGTTGACGACGAAGAACAATAGCCTGCAGTCCACCCACTCAATGTCTGGAGATAGGCGGATTCCTTGATTGAGTCTCGAGATCCGGTGTTCAGACGTGTAGGACGAGGTTGAACGCGAGGAAGCCGCACCGGCGAACCGAAAATACCGTAGGCTAAGGGTGTCTGACACGAATGAGAAGGCATGGTGCAGAGGAGAACTTCGAAATCGTTCAGGGTCAGGAGTAAATGGGTCCAGACCGAACGCTAGATGGAAGGAAGGATGTACGTTGAAGACAGGAGGAATGAAGGATGATACGCACATGTAGAATTTTCTACCAATCGAAATGGTATTTCCAGCCCCACAGGATTGGGCAGATTGCAGGGGTGAGTCATGGCGCAAGTCGTGAATGACGCGCGCTATCACGCGGGGCGTAGCGATGATGTACATTGACGGCAACGTGGACTGCACGTGTACAGCGGGGAGGCTAAACTTTTGAATCGGCTGGCTGAAGGTGGCATAATCAACCCGTGGACTCGGGATTGAGCAGAGAGCTATGACATCGGAGATACTGGTGCTGCCGCGACATTCAATCATCAAGGGCAATCTTTCGAGACTTTGGCGAGGTACAAGAAAAAATTGAAGGGGTTATCCTCATGAGATGTTTGCCGTAGATAAAGACTTGACATGAACATTGAGATGGCTGGGCAGCTGATTCGATAAGAACATGGGATTTAATTTCCTAACGACTTACAAGTGATTAATTGGTGTCAAAAGAGGGTGAGGATTGGGTGGGCGTAGTTTGACGTCCATGACGTTCGGTCTCAACTGCAGGGCAGGTAGGGCGTGACGATAATCGAGTCCCATGTTCCGCCGACCCGTACTGTTCACCTTTTGTTTCGGTTTAGAACTGATCTTGAAGAGAATGATACCCATGCACTGAGATAAAAACTCTTTCCGTGCTGTCGAGTCTCATCGAGAGAGATCATAGATGGAGTGCAGTTCATTTTTCCGATGACAAAGATGAGACTAGTATTACTAATCAAATCGTCACAAGGTTACCATCAATGATCGATCTCATCGATATGCGTCACGGATCCACTAAACTGCCAGGCTTGTCCGATTTTCAAATCTCTGAAAAATGCTGGAGAAAATCTCAAGGGATGCCAGGTCCTCAATGAGTATTTCTTTTTGAAAAGGCTGATTTTTTACACAATCCTCACTTCAAGAACCTAATTTTTCGAAGGCAGAACGCGAACCTTGGGAGCAGCCAAACTACTGGTTCGTCCAGACCTGGAACCATATTCCCATCTTGGATGGTTCTGGGATTGATTCATCCAGTACCTTGGGACCAGGATAAGGTATCATAATTCCGGATAACTTCTGGTGTGATTCTTGCTTATTGTCTCGCTCAGATACCGCTGTCGGATTGGTGGGTTCGCCCGGCAATAGGGTAAGAAGGACGTGTTTGAAGAAGAGGCGTCCTTTCATCATCTACCCTGAATCGGTGGGAACGACAACCATTGCCTACTTCGAGCATAAAGGTGCGCTTACCCAATGCATTTGAGCCCCGTCATTTTCTTCGCCCTGTCGACCGAGTTATTGCATCAGTGAGCACAATTGCTCATGACTCTCTTTCTATTTCACGCATCGTCATCACTAGGCTTGAGATGCCCCCGATCCGTGACCATGAGGTGGATTACGGGAACGCCGAGGACGATGGTGAGCACAGCCATTCAACCACCTCATTCGCGAGCTCAACACGCTGATTAGACATGCCGCCGCTCGTTGACAATTCGGCCGGATCGATGACATACACCTTCTTTACGGACATGACTCCCATGTCGTTCGCCAATTCCGACCCGCCTCAAGCCAGCACCTCTGCCGTTCAACTGCATTCGAGGATCACTCCGCCGGCGTCACCCATCACACCTGACGACCAGACCACACTGCGAGCACCTCACCCAACTACGCGTCCTCATGGCAAGAGACGTGATGCGTCGTACATTCCCCGTCCGCCAAACGCCTTTATTCTCTTTCGGTCGTCCTTCATTCGGAGTGAGCAGGTCCCCGGGAAAGTAGAGGGCAATCACAGTACACTGTCCAAAATTATTGGTACGTCTTCGTGATGTCTATTTCAACCACAAATTTTGATTCCATCATCAATAGGGATGTACTGGAAATCTTTGTCGCGCGAAGAACGCGAGAGCTGGGAAGCTAAAGCCGTAATTGCTCAAGCTGAACACCGTAAGAAGTACCCTGATTGGAGGTTCCGACCTGGGGCCAACGCGATGGCGAAGCTCAAGATCAAGGATGGCGGTACAGTCATTCGAAGAAGAAGTGCTCGAGGTCGCACAAAGGACCCCCCTGACGATGGTGATGTCGGCGCAGGGGACGAAACGGAGGATTCAGCAAAAGGCAGGGATAAAGGGAAACGCAAAGCGCAGGCAAAGGGGAAGGAAGAATCGAGGTGCGAAAAAATTGCGAACTTGCTTGTCGAGGGAAAGAAGGGCGCGGATTTGGAGAAGGCTGTGAAACAGTGGGAGGGAATGATGAGCCAGAAAGAAAAATCCGCGCTCTTGCCTTCATCCTCGTCCACCAGACCCCGCCGCTCTCGAAAGACGACAATCCCTGCCGTCGATTCTATCCCTCCGGTCATCGAGACAACTCCAATGCAAGATGTTTCTCAGCCAGACTCTACCTCTACTCAAATCCAATCCGACGACTCTTCCCCCCTTCCCGTCGGGCTCTCCGCAGTCCCGCTAACTCACATGTTCAAACGCTCTCTCTCCCTTCCGTCAAGCAACCCGCGCTTAACACTCCCTGAATCTACAATCACTCTTCCATCTGACACCGCGTCGCCAGGAGACTGGGAAGCCAGCAGGATTGGTACACCAGGCACACCATCATCGCGTCGCCATCCCCACTCTCAAAGTACGACCACAGGAAATACCGCCGCCTCATTCCCACTCCTCTGCACTCCCTTTACGCCACAAGCATCCTACGTCCCTCGGCATCTCCAGTGGGAGGATGAAGAAGCGCGTCGAAGGAGTGAGTTATCCCAAGAGGGCGAGTATTGGTGGCCATCGTCGGGTTTGGAGGACCAGATCGCTGACTCGGGCTGTGAGCGGCCGATGATCGTCACGTCTGATGGGATGGGATATGAAGATTCTGTCGGACAGTTCGATCATCAGTTCAACGAGGTGCGCCGCTGTGCCTTGCTTCTTGTCTTTTTGACAGCTGACCTTGAATTTTGTTCACTCAGCAATACGGTGCGTCTCTCGAACCCCCAAACGATGGCAGCGAGCTCGTCACCTGGTCAACAAACCCCAATCGTCAAGGCCTCGTCGCCGTCATACAAGATCCTCATATGCATTCCGAGACCGACGTCCCTCACTCGTCCCCTCTCCCGCCACCTGTGTCGACAGACCCCTCAAATTACTTCTACACCTCCCCATCCGCTCCGCTCCCCGCTTCGTCATTTTCCACCTTGTCTGGTTGGGCTGGCGATTATAAGTATGACGAAACTTCGCATCGACAAACTTCATCAGCCGCTAACGCGACGGCGTCAGCACCAATCCCGGCATGGTACGAAGCCCCTGGTTGGGAGGCACATCAACATCAGTTCAACCATCCTAATCTCTACTTTAGCCCGGACGATTGGGATCGGATAGAGGTGAACCATGAGGAAGATCGCCACATTGGAAGACGATCGTGATATCTGCTGTCGTTCTGGGTTAATATTTGTTCTCTTTCTTCCACTCTCTCTGCCGTTTTTTTCCTTACTCTTCGACGTCGTCTCTTCGAACACATCTTGGCAAATCATTGTAGCTATTATTGTCTCCTCTTTCTTGTTCCATTGGCATCACAACATGTAGATATGTATCAACTTACATTATTCATTTTCACTGTACCTCTCATCCATTCATTGCACATAAGTACTATAGAAATTTTGAATCATTTGAAAAGTTAACACACGAGGTGCAAGGCAAAATCGTAAAAAAAATCGAGAATTGATCCGACAACGCCGATAATAACTACAAATGACAACGGGTTTCTCCGGTGTGTTGCTTCTCTCTGGTTTCTCTTCACGAACGAATATATGAGGATACGAAAGTACTACCTCGCGGTCTATGTACTTGGATTCCGATAAAGCAAATTTCACCTGTTACGAGATGTCTCCGTCAAGAATTCTGGAGATCTCGAAGAACAACTAGTCCAGGAGAATCCAGTTGCAGGTGGCCAAAAGTATGCTGCGCGCCCATTCTGGACAAACAGTGTCGCCGAGTGGTTTCTTGACCGAGGAACTCCAGTTAAGTACGCTTTCTCGAGCTTGAGTCCGTCAACTTAGGTCCGCTCCGTTTGACTGAAAAGTTTGTGGCACCTGATCGAATTGGACCATCAGGTCCCCCGGTATACTTTCTAGATGATGAGCAGGTGAGCTACCAGCATCAGATATCGAAGTTTTCTTCGTCGTTCATTCTTCTCCCTCATTAAACCCGTGTTCCTCGTTGAAGTTCAAGCCGCCATCATACCGATGACAAGTTCGACATAAAGGAGATTCATCACGCTCTACGTATCAGTATCATCAACGGGGACACTCTGGTAGACGACATGTTCTTAACCGATGGATCGCGGTTCGCAAACATTAACTACAGCTCTCACGTAAACTTAGCGCCTCGCCATACTTCTCAAAGGTTGACCTATAGATTCGCATAAGGGACGCAAATCCGGATGGACAGTGGAATGTGACCAGCGTCGCAATAATGGTTGGTGGGTTGATCAACCGTCATTCACCAATGATGCCATTGCCGCTGAGGGAGGTCGCCATATGGTATTGCACGTGGTGCTATCCGCATGACGACCCTGTGTGTATGCAACGCCTTTTCAACGCGCCAAAAAACAGTCCAACGAAAATATAAAAGCATTAGGTGTGGGCTTCCTTTCTATCAATCGCATCATGCAGACTTTCCCCATCCTCGTAGCTCTTGCCTTAGCTGGCTCCGCGGCTTCTCAGCAAATTTGGGATATTGTGAGTGTCGCTCCTCAATTTTCCTTCGCTGCACATACACGCTTCTGATCTGATAGTGGCAAACAACATGGGATCGTTCAAAGCTCTTCAGCTCTTTGTCTCCTACTTCCCCCATCAACTTCGTCATGCCAGGTCCGATTGGCAGCGCGGATATCATCCTCAACGATGCAATTAAATTTCAGACTATTGCCGGTTTTGGAGGCTCCCTCAGTAAGTCGATCAACCGTTGTGCTACATCGACTACTTTATCCAATCCCCATTTCACAGCCGACTCATCTGCTCTCGTTTTGAACAACTTGAAGGTCGACGGAACCACATACCTATTTGATCGCTCTCATAGCTTCCTTTAGTCAACCAACTCTCAAAATTACTGGACGTTGCTGAATCATATGTTCTCCCCAACGTATGCCGCTAACGCCGCTGGTCTCAATTATATTCGTGTTACAGTCGGAGCTTCTGATTTTTCTGCGAACCGTGAGTCAATCGAAGCCTCAAGCTCCCTCTGACGCTGATCATAGAATTTTAGTTTATAGTCTAGATGACAGCAGCGGTGATACATCTTTCAGCAACTTCAATATCAACAAGGTCCCATCCTATGTTTTTTCCGTTCTCAAGGATATTCGGGGGATCAATTCTAATCTGAAAGTCCACATTATCCCATGGTCCCCAGTAAGTGCACCAGCTCTTCCCTCGACATTGACTCACTTCTTTCTAGCCAGGTTGGATGAAGGATAGTGGGAGTATGAATGGCGGATCCTTACAGTCAAAATACGTCCCTGCTTGTAAGAACTTATCATCCGCTACCGCATTCTATCTCTTATCTGCTTTACAGATCCTACGTACCTTCTCAAAGCCGTACAAGGTTTCCAAAGTCAAGGTATCGCCATATATGCAATATCTATTCAGGTATGGTGATCGATATTTATCTTCGAATTCGAGTTGGCCTCAGTCTTTCAGAATGAACCCCAGAATAACAACCCTACATACCCCACCTGCACAATGTCGCCCGCTGTTGAAGCTCTAATTGGCGCCGCACTGCGCACGCTCCTCAATATCAACGGTCTTTCAACTGTAAGAGTCATTGGTTACGAGGTATGTACCTCATTCCTTATTATTTCCAAGCACTCTAATGACAAGATTTACAGCATAACTGGGATGACGCTGGGGAATACCCAGTGGCTCTGGTACGTACAACTGCAGTTCCGTGAACTTTACTTCAATTCCGTTCTCAGATGGAGGACGCTGGAAACTCCTTCGCCGGCGTGGCGTTTCATTGCTATGCTGGCGCTGTTTCTAACCAAGACTCCTTCCACAACTCCTTCCCAACCAAGGTACATTTTGGCGTTCCGAACTAGATTCACCATCAACTCAGCTTTCAGGAAATCTACTTCTCAGAGTGCGCCGGAACAGTAGGGTCTGATTGGTGGAGTGATATCAAGGTGCGCTCATTAGTTTCTCTTGCCGTTGTGTCTGAACGTGTTCTTTCAAGTGGTACATGGATAATCTGTCAGGATTTTCGTTCCTTATTTTTTCCTCTACCGACGCCTTGGTATTCTAGTTGGATTGGGAGTCTCGAACACAACGCGAAATCTGTCCGTTCCCCATCCTTTGCACTCTAAAAAACGAGCTAGCAACGTTGAACAGGGTTTGATGTGGAATATGGCTGCCGATGCCAACGGAAATCCGAAGCTGCCTGGTACAAATAGTTGCGGCGGTGCGGGGTGCCGCCCTCTCGTCACAGTGAACGGCGACGGAAGCTACACCTTGAATCAGGAGTGTAATATTGTCTCTCCTTTTTTTTATCCCAGACGATGTATAATATTTATCTCGCAGTCTATTCCATGGCTCAAGCGTCGAAGGCAATTATTCCCATCGATCCCGCAGGCCCTTTCGGACAACGAATTAGTGTTTCCGTTGGAGGGCCTCTCAATTGGGCCCTCAGAGTTGGTGCATACGTTATCACAAGAGTATCTTCGAGTGATTGGTCGCAGGTCTCCATTGTCGTGATGAATTGTAAGTTTTTCAGATGGGAATCTCTGGGTAATAATGATTTTGTTAAGGGGCCGATGGAGGAAATCCTACGCCTGTCACTGCTACAATCGAATTCCGAGGGATGCAGGCGAGTTATGTCCCATGTATGTGACCCTTACTTATTCGTGCATACAGGCGAAGTACACGTTTCCGGTCGGTGTAACGACCCTGTGGTGGTTTGCGCCCGCGGCGAGTAGCCAAGCCAGCACGACGATGGAATTTATCGCCACGACGCTAGGTGCCGACGGGACTACGAAAGGCGCTGGAACCTTGAAGACCCCGAACGTGACACGTGCAAATGAAACGACTGGTGAATTCATTCCCGTAAATTCAACCTCTACGGTGAGGGGGAAATTGACTTGAATCACGACGAGCTCTCGTAGCATTGTACACCATTCAATGAGAGGAATGCATAAATGCAACCCACCATTGTACAACTACGAGTTTTTTCGTAGTAGCGCATTCGCATCCCCCTCTCCGATTCAAGTGCTTCGAGCTGATGTTATACGAGGTGGGAAGGAGTTGGGAAGGAGTCTTATCACCGTCGACTCAATGTTCCACTAATGCCGTTCTCCGCGGCTAATCGAGGTTTCAAGATCCTTTCATTTTCGTAGGAGTCTAGATATAGTAAAATGTAGATAGACAATGCTTCTTTCAATCATGGCAACCAACAGGAGTTAGAGAAGAGAAATCTCTTCTCCGTCACATACACGCCCAAATTAGGCCCTTACCTTGTTAGCATGAACAAAGATCGTGACATTCCTCGCCCATTTGAAGAAGTTTTATTGTTCTCCATTTTGAATATCTTCGCTGATTGTCTTTGGTCATAGGATTGGAATGGAGTCTGTGGAGATTATAATTAATGAGGCGTTCCTAATTTACATATTCCACGTACTGGCTTGTGCCCGAGTATGGGCGAGTTGTGGGCGGTTGTGGGGCTAGCGCTCAGGTAGTAAATGCCTATTCTCGGCAGGGGGTCAGGGATGGGAGTGGACTTACGGAGGATTGAATGGGCGCATTCTCGCGAGGCCTATTTGAGCGATAACGTGAGTATCCCTTTGAGGGTAAGTCCAGGGGCTCCATTGCACGTCCAACAGTGGCGTAGAATATTTTCTCTAAGCATCGTTTCAGACGCCAGTGCGGAAATAAGAACACGAAGGTGTGTCAGTTTTGGTTTTTATGGGAATTATTCCATGTGCGGCAATCCCATATCGCGCTACTGAGTATGCGACGGCTGTGGGGATCCACCAACCCCGCATACTTATTGGTCAGTAAAGAAATTCGATTTCGTAGTCAATGTCCTACGACTGTTGTACTGATTCTCTCATGACCATGGGAAGGGAAATTGGTGTATCCGAGTCCTCGTACAGGGCAAGTCGGGTTTGAGATTTGAGGAAGACATCAAATTTGAAGTCCTGTCGACGCGAAGCGCAATGAATCGACGTTCGTCGAATTGTTTGGCGCTCCCCACAGCTACTGTACCGAAATGTATGGTGGCAACGTAACGCATAACGCTGGCCCGATTTTGTTGCTTATTTCAGGTAAAGTAACGCGTAACGCTGGCCCTGTTGCTATGAAAATGACCAAAAAAAAGTCCATTTTTACGAAATTTTCTGTCCCTGCGGGGCTACAGATACTAAAATATAGGTAAAGTCTGGTAGAATACCCCAGCATTTTTAGCATTATTGTATGCCTAGCCGACCGTCCACTTCTGTAACATCGTCTACCAAAATTTCCGGGGAGTTGCCTATCGGACCAAAGTAACACGTAACGCCTGGGTCCGTTGCCGAAAAAAAACCTTCGGGACGCGTAACGCTCCGTCCGCTGTTGCCACCATACAGTTCGGTACAGTATGCTGTCACCAGTCGAAAGTGGGTCGGGAAACCATTCCCGCATGGCATCCGGCGTAATTGGTAGAGATTAAACAGTCTCTTCCAGCCCTCTTTTTAAGAGGCCTGATCGCGTTCTAATTTTTGGAGCTCAATGGTGTGGTTAATGGGGAGCAGACTTTGATGCAGCTCCCAGTTGAACGCAAAGGAGGGGGAGAAAGCGCCGGAGATCGAGAAGGCTGACGTTAGAACTCTCTCTCCAAGATAGGTTGCGCTACCTTTATTAACCCTGCGAGAAACCAGTCCACAATCTAGCAATCCGCGACGACTGAGACCACGACATAGGACGTTATCAAGGAAGTCTTCAAAGCACAGCTGACGGTGATTACTTGGTGATGACGTCGAGTTTTCAAGATAATGCAACAGAGAGACAGATAGGAAGTCAATTGACGAACATTCCTTTGATGGCCATAAATCTGCAAAATGGCCTACACGTCGCAGTTGTCAAGTACAAGATGAGGAGAGGACAAAAGTCACGTGTGTATACTATGAGCTTGGAATGTTTACGTAACCGTGACAGTGATCATCTCACCATTTGCACCGTGCGCGTTTCCACCACAAACCATACTGTATCCGCATTTTCTAATATCACTAATTCTTATAGAATACCATGACCACAACCTAGGGTTGCAGGTCGTAAGATCCTCGATTCCCATCCCAGCTATTTGCTGGGACTGGTACGATGGCAAGCGCGAGACAGCGTGCTTGACGGGTCACCTCTCTACCACCTACCATCGCGAAGCAATACGGATGGCGTCCAGTTGTGAGGATACATGCGTGCGGAGAAAACATGCAGACCCATCGGTCTGGTGTGGGTTTATCGAGTAGCAAGTGTTGCTGCCGAAAAAGAACTAAAGGAGTACAACTTAAAAGCAAAGGTACGACAACTCCCCCTTGACCTCGTCATGCGAATTGGCTCTTACCTTATCGTATGTAGCTCCGCATTCAGCGATACTTGAAGAGTTCATAACCCTTGAAGAGGATTTCGAAGGCAGCGTTTCGCCAAGACGCACAAAGAGAATGATCACTCTCAATGTAAGAGGATTTACACGTTTACTGGCCCCGCCGTCGTGATTATGTTCAATTCTCTTACGCGGAATAGTTTGAAGTGGATGACTCGTCTTCGGCCCACTGGCATGCGTGGATATCGTTGAGCTTCAAGATCACTAGAGGGTTGTTAAAGAGGCGACGACAACGCCAGAGGATGTCAAGAAAGGGTGAGTTCTCTTGGAGCTCTTAGATTTACGAAACTTATTCTTGCCTTCAAATTACCTGCCATTAGTAAGTATTTGCTTTTTAACATCTCAGCTGATCCCGAGCATTCAAATCTAGATCTTTCACAATTTGTAACCCGAATGAGGCACTCTCTCAATGTATTCATGACCTACATGGTTAAACCGTCCAAAGAAATCATTCGTGATGAAGGGCGCTTGACTGGCTTGTTGTGTTTCGGTCCGTGACAATAACAATAATAACAATAACCGCCGACAAACGCGCCTCTCAGCTCCAACCTTTGTCTCGTTGGAACAAAAGAAACATGGTCTCCCCTGTCAGTTTTTTTGTTCTCCCCACTGCCAGCTTCACGCAACCCTCGATATGCCGCAGATCGTCTTCGATGGGTCCCTGCAGTTACACATTATATAACAACAAACTTGGACGTTGGTTTGCTGTCAAGTACCGACTCACCTCTCCATTCGAAGGGAATTATGGAAACATACTTTCAGCCCGCTGCTGCCAACTACCACACTCCTCCTGTTCACCCCCAGCAACGACAGCGGGGATACCGTATTTGCGACCAATGCCGTACTCCAGAGACCCAGTCTCTTAAGTTCCGCCTATGTGGAGGTTGTGTACGTCGGTCGTCCTTCTCTCCTTGCCTTCATGAAGTTTGACGTGACTCCCTCCAGCTGGTGACCCAATATTGCGTGAGCCCTGTCAGTCCCCGGTACTAACTTGCCCTCTGACGAGTCTGTCTTCCGTAGTCACAAGACTGCCAACGTGATCATTGGCCCCACCATAAAGCAATCTGTCAGCACACCGCGTCAGTATCCAAAGCCGCCATTGCCGCTGCGTCTTCCTCCCCAGCCGCAGACGAACACCTCGCGAAGAACCTCCGGAAGTTCGCTTCTGCCCATACGGCGTTGTTGGGGTGGGCTGGTTTCCAGGCATTGCAACTCAAACGTGTCCCGGCAAATATTAGGCAAAACGCGTTGCTCATTGACTTGAGCTACCATCCTCACGCCGAGTCTCATCGTCGGTAAGTCCGAAGTTCCTTTCCTCCCGCGCACTCCATCGATGCTCACGCGTGTTCTGGTAGATTTTCGATACTCTCGACCCACATTGTACCGAGGACCCATGTCCATGACCCACTCGTCATAGCTGACATCCAGCGGCGCGAGGAACGGTGCAGGTATAGCGGGGGCATTGGCACACTCGTCGTCATTATCCAATGTGGCGGTGTCTCCCAAGTTATGCCCGTTGAAGTCGATCCGCCTGCAAAGATTACGTGGGACTCGAGGGACGATTGGGCGAGTGTGCTTGCGCACTTTGTGGAGAGCGGAAGGACGGATTTCAAGCCGATATCGACCACTTCAAGGGGGTGAGTTGTCCTTCCGTTGTCATTTTTTGGAGAGCGGGATTGACGAACGGGTTTAGGGTGTATTATGGATGAGGGGCGAAGCTGTGTGGACTTCAGAAGACCGTCCGCACCCATGAACCTTTGCAACCACGCACCCTTCGTGCTCATTCACGACCACCCGGCATTTGACAGCTCGCGCACCCTCAATTCACCTTGCTCACGCATCACGTATCATTCCACTCCCGTTGGTGTATCTCATGCACGACCATACCCGCGCCGTCGATCGGTGCACCTCAGCACATATCTAAACCTCTAATAAGCAACATCCGTCGCATCAGCATCGTCCACATCATCACCAGCATCACAACTCACTTACGTCTATCACGTCGTTATCTCGGTACACATCCGTCAGTGCCATGTCGGCTTGCCGCATCTATACCTCTTCCCCGCTTCTATTCAGCTTGTCGAGTACAAGCTTAACCCCTTTGTTCCGCCTTCGCTTTCGTTCGCTTTTTCGTTTATCGAAAATATTTGGTTTGAAATATCTTTATCTACAGCTTGTGGTTCGATTTTTGGGCGAGTTTCTTGAGTATATCTAAATGTGTAGATACATAATCAGATTGTAATAGTGCTGTGCGATACAATGGCATTCACGCACCCATGTTTGGTTGAGAGAGAGAACGACGAAAAGTCGAGATTAGGGGGAGCGAAGCTTGGACAGTTTCATTGAGAGCCTGAGCTTGAAAACGACAAGAGAACGGCTGATCGATAGAGTCGTGGAGGGGCAGAATAACAGGGCAAGCTCCGCAAGTAGAAGCGGAGCAAGTCGAGAGGGCCAACATATGCATAAGGTTTATCGTCAGCTATCGCTCGAGTTGACCACTTCAGAAGGCATGATGACCCGTCTTCCCCCGAGTATTATAACCTGAGGCGTCCTCAACTTGAAGGTCTGGCTCTGTTTGGGGACGTCGCCAATGTGGTGGGGGCCACGGTCATCCTTATCAAAACTGGATTCTCGACGCATGCTATTGTACGTGATTCTTTTTGTTTCTTCAATAACCGCTAACGCGTCCTGTCACACAGGAACATGGGCCAACGTCTCCTTCAGCTCCAATCCACCTTCACCGGGTTCAACAATAACACCGCCCTGCTCCACGTCGAAGTAGGGAAATAGGGAATGAGAGGTGAAGCGAGTGCGAGAATCGACAAATGAACATATCACGAGCGACATGGGCGGGAGAGAACCGTGGATAATGCGGAATGGGTGATACGCGTCATCGAGTGTGCGAGATGCAAACGTAAAAGATGAACGGGCGAAGGATGTCAATCGAACGGAAATACGGAGAATAAGGATGACGGAGAAGCGAAGAGGGGAAAAGTAAACGAAGTGCGAGGTACAGGTAGGCCCAGGAGAGAGGAAGGACGAGGAGGGCAGACGAAGAAGGCGTTATAAGGCAGAGCGCAAAACAAGTGCTCATAAAGAAGCGAAATGCAAAAGAAACAATGCATCCCTACAAAAGTGGACGGGGGTAAAAGTGGACGCGCAAATGTGCATAGATGGAAGCAAGGATGGAAGATGGGCAGGGAAATACGTCGGGTAAGAAAGGTGATAAAATGAAAAAGAACGTGAGTGGTGATCCATCAAGTGGAAAAGAAAGGCGGGGAGGAACACGGTGGGGGAAAGAAGGATTCGAATGCGGATGACGATCAGAAAGATGGGTGAAATACAGATCAAGGCAGACAATGTAGGGGCTGCGAGAATAAGATGCAGAACAACCCAATGCGCAAGGACCTCAGACGTAGGAAGGCAGTAGCAGAAGCAACATCGAAAAGGAAGGAAGAAGAGAAGACGTAAGGAGCGCACGGGCAGAGCCTCACTGAATGGAGGAAGTGGGAGAGGAAACAGCCCAGGAAAATGAAGGAGTGTCCTGGTGGATGTGGAAGGGGGAGAAAGGAGACAAAAAGGAAGGCCCCAACGTAGTGAGGCGCAAGAAGAAAGAGGTTGGAGGATTGCAGGAAACACGAGTGCACAGGCAGAGAAAGAGAGAAGAATTTGCGGAGAAGAAAGAGGCGTAGAAAGTGGAGTGCGCCGAGGATGGTGAATGAAGATGAAGGGTGGGCAGCGTATCCAGAGAAATGGACGTGCGGGGCAGGGTGTACATTTGAAGCTGGAAACGATCCTAAGGACATATATTGAATGGAAAATGAAAGAAAGGCGATGCGAACGAAGGAGATAGGTGACGGAACGGTGGCAAAGAAGACCAGGGAGCAAAAAAAAAAAGGATAGAGGGAACACTACTCACTCTTACTCTTGACAGCCCCACAACCTTCATCATCCGCATCCGTCCTAGGTTGAACACGCATAACCCTTGACAGCGTCGGGTGATCTGGGGTCTCGAGGATACTATGAAAAAGTAGGTTCAGACAAGTTGTAAAAAAGAGGGGAAAGGGAGAGAGGAACGTACTCATCGGCGCCGTCCCTTGTATTGGAGTTTGAGAGAAAAGAGGAATGTGCGCCTTCTTCCTTGTCCTCTTCCTCTTCCTTTTCCATACGCTCCGCGACAGGTGAGGAAGAAGCAGTGTTTTTAGCTACGTCACTCGTCGTCGTCGCCGCCTGTGCAGCAGCAGCCAAGTTGCTATGACGTCGAGGCTCCACGCGGGTTCCACGACCCGTCCATATCAATGGAGGTCGTTGATTGTTTGGTTGTTCGTGAGTTGCGTGTGGTGGGGACGGCGGAGGTGAATGATTCTGAGTTGTACGCTCCTGCTGTTGAAGGGGACGGAAGGAGAACTGATGGTGGAGGGAGGAGTACCGGCGTTGGTGGTGGTGGCAAACGAGGCGACTTCGGTTTTGACTTTTTAGACTTTGGTGCGGGAGAAGGCTGGACTGGTTGGATGTGAATTGACCGGGTATTGCGTCTTGTAAAACTGTAGAAGCAACAACAATGGCGTCTGATACTGCCACCACACAAGTTTTGTCGCTTTTCTTCCTTTTGGCTTTCCCCCTTCCATTCCCTTTTTCTTTCTCCGTCTGGTTCGTATCCAGTGTCCACACGAGCACCGCTAATCTGGGTGTATCCAATTCCTAAAGCCCTAGCAACGACGAGGACGGTGAGCACGGATAAAAGCTTTGTGAAGAGCCCATTGTTGTTGTAAACGAGCGTAGATGTGATCCTGGGAGCTCGGGTAAGATTGTGGCGCAGAGTGTCAAATGATTTTCTGACGTGAAGCCTTGAACCAATAGACGGGTTCGAGTCCCGCCAGGGGACTGGGCGAGGGCAGGCAGGGCGAGAGAGCAGCAGCAGGAGGCGAGAGAGTTTCTACGATTGTCAGTTGTTTATTCTGCACTTGATTCTGCAAACATTGGACCAAATACAGCGATCGCATCGTCCGCCATCCGCAATCATTGGGAGCTCGAGCTGAACACACCAGAGAAGACCTGAAAATTTGAGGGTACGAACACGCTTGGGGAAGCCCTGCAAGGTACGACGGTACTATAGAGTTTGGATGCGGCAATCAACTTGCGGCGATTGGTGAATCGTTGGTGAATCGCCTCAACTCTGCATCCGACTCACTATATGTTCCACCGTAGGACGGTCGTCACGCCTTCTGGCTGGCATACGCGACTGAAGGAAAGCATGGATAGGGTAGTGGCCGGGCCCTCAGTTTCGCGGTAACTACTAAAGTAATTGTCCGTAAAAGTCCGACTGACACTCTATCCTATTGAGTTAATATACGTGAAGTGGGATGATTCATTATCCCATTGATCTAGGCCGCATATGGCTGGACGGGGAATTATGATATGCGTGCCGTCCACTGGAGAAAAGGGGCCAAAGCGAAGTCAAATTTAAGGTCGATATCATTGTTACTTACATGCAGCGCTGGACTTGATGTTTTCGTCAAACGTCACAGCCGTAATGTAACATAGATCACAGGAAGTTGACAATTTGCACCCTCAAACTTGCCTCAAACCCACGTCAAGCGCGATTTTCAGGTTGAGCCCAAGCCCCGCCGCATATATCCAGGTTCCGACTCTATTGACCCCCTGTGTATTGCCGTGCGACTAACGTGTTGAACAGGTCGCTACATTGCAAACTGTACTACGATGTGCACGGCAATGTGAAACGTCCTACTTTACCGTTGCTTTGTTGTAGATTGCGCAGCGATTATTCTGAGGGCTGTCCCTGGCAAGTATCCTTATCTATCGCAGAAGATTTCTCACTTTCAGAAGTATCAGCGGCGAAATCTATCTTGAGCGTCCGGCTTTGACAGAACCAACTAGAGTCCAGACATATCACTGGCAGACATACGTATATTAATGACAGGTCGAATCGAAGCACGGGCCTATCATGGGCGATCTTGTGACACCTGTGCGACAAGATAAATACCAAGGTGGCACCGCTTGACTCGAACCCAACTCGAACCTGCTGTGATTCACCTTTCCATGTTTTTCCCTAGCCTCAACATAGATGTCTTCAGCCATGCTGAACTCTTCTGGCACCTCTTGGTGAATCCAACGTGAGTCCATGGCGTCAGATCTAACTGTAATCCAACTCTCATCAATTTCTTATTAGTGGCCCCATCGTGGAAACGGTCACGCTCCCGCCAGTCATCGCTGCACCAGATCAGTAAGGCTTTGCATTCTTCCCTGTGGTCGGACACTACTGAAGATGATATAGAGGGACGAAGTCATTGTTCGCTCTCATCATCGGCATCAACGAGTACGATGGCGACTCTATGTACGGGTGTATTGAGGACGCTACCGACATGCGCAACTATCTACTTCAATACTTGAAAGTTCCCGATTCGCATATCCGCTTTTTAACTAACACGAATGCCATGCGCGCCGACATCATCAACGCGTTCTTGGAAATTCAAACTGACAAGCGTATCAAGAAGAGCGACCCCATCTTGATTTTCTTTGCAGGACACGGCAACGAAACTGACGCTCCGACTGGCTGGCCTTCCGGAGATGTGTCCGACCAGATACAGATGATCATCCCACAGGACTACAGCACTGATCCTGCAAGGCAGGTTCACGGAATTCCCGACCACTCTCTCGCAGCGTTACTGAACGGAATTGCGAATGAACATGGGGATAATATAGTAAGGAAATTCCTCTCGACCTACCCTTGAAATAGTAGTTCACACGGATCTCGTTTAGACCGTCATCTTCGACTGTTGCCATTCAGGATCCGGGACACGAGGAGGTCGCAAAGTCTGAGGCCTTCCTAAAATTCTCAACCAGGATATACCATAGGACCTTGGTCGTGACATCTGGTACACCGCGGGTCAAGCGCTGCACCAGGATATACTAGAAGAGGATTGGCCAATCACGTTGGCAGCATGCACACAGAAGGAAGGAGCGGCTGATGGGGGCGTTCACCCAAGCTCTCCTTCCTACTCTCAAGTCGTCACGTCGGGCGCGGATAAACTCACCTATACCTCTCTTCTCGAGAGGATGGACAAGATACCATCGTAAGTCTGACCAAGTGTAGTACCTCCACGACTGACGTCGTTTCCTACAGCCAAAACCCTCAGTGTGAAAGGTTGGACCAAAATCGCATCATTTTCGACTCCAGAGCACCTCCAACAGGACGTGTATGTTCTCCTATCAATATGAACGGCAGTGTATACGAGATGGAAGCCGGATCTGCACATGGCGTTACAGAGGGCTCCGAATTCAGTCTATAGTACAACGACAGTCTCACCATCGACGACTCACCCTCCCCCTGCGTCTTCGTTGTTGCTTCTGCGGCCGACATTGGCCCATTCACCACAACACTTCAGATCAAACATACATCCACCGCCACCGTTACCATTCTTTCCGCAACTTCTTGCGTTTTGCAGACGACAGCCGGGGACTCGGCGGAGGATCTTTTGCTATTCGCTCCCCTCGATGAAAAACTTCTCGCCCTGTATAAAACTCTGGCGAAAATGGTGAAGGAGTTCCATCCTGGTAAGAGGCAAATCCGGCCTGTCCTAGAGAAGGAAAAGGCGAGACTCGGCCTTTCGATTGTGGACAACATAATAGCGTTCGATATCCTTGATCCGCGTCTCGCAGAGCATGGCTTGACGGGTATGCCTCATACCGTAGCAAACAACCCGCAGGAAATCGTTCTGGTCCTTCATGGCGCTGCTCATAGCTATTGGCATCTTAACCACGAGGTGAAAGATGCTCTCGTCAACACTCATACCAACAAGTGATTACGACTCCTCAGGAAAAGCAATTTTGAAGCCGACTAGGGACAACTACTTACAGCTCGGTGTCATTGACGTCGTTGCGTCAGATCGTACCATGTATGGATATAAGATTACTAACAACAGCGCTCGCGATCTCTAGATCAACGCCTTTTACATCGACAACACCGACTTTAGCATTGGTAATTTATAATTCTTACCGCCACTGGCCATCGTTAACTTACCCCCTTCTCCAGAAACAATCTACCAATCACCAACAAGCGGTAAATACAAAACCTACCTCACCCTCCCCAAAAATGGCGGCTATCTCACCCTCGGCTACGGCTTTGGCGGGGTTGATCCATCCACCTATCGCCTAGAGGAAGGCACCGATATTGACGTGGGGTATCTAGTATTCTTCATCGCCTCGGAGAGTGTCAATCTCTCCAAGATTATCCCGCAGAAGACGCCGTTCGAGGGTCCGGGACGCACGTCAGTGTCAGTGTCGCCAATTACGGCACTTTCTTGGTGCCCATCGTCCAGCGCCATTATCCTGTCCAGGGGCAGTGAAGGCTCCGAAACTTTGAAACCGGCGTTTATCTGCTGTCGATTTTACTGGAGAAGTTCAGATGGAGGTCGCCATTTTAAAGTTTACTTGCGTAGGAATGTCTTTGAATCAGAGAATTTGAAAGCAAATGTTTTGACTTTGATGAAATGAAGATCCGCTCTCCGAGTCGCGAGCCCACTGTTCACAACTAATGCTCTGAATCTGAGATCGGCAGACCAACAGAAATTGCTCGAAAGCCTTTCAGGTTAATTGACCTGAATATTGCCTGAATACCAACAAATCTGTTCTACAAGATTCGAGTAAGATGTGGACATATATGCGTCTAATAAGCCCAAGCAAAGCGGCGGGGCTTCGGATGAAGCTGAAAGACCCAAGAGTGGTCTTATTCTCAACAGAGGCGGGAGTGGGCTGGTAGGCAGCAGTGGAGAAAATCAGAATCAAGGAGCGAATATCACAACAGACAAGTACCTGCCACCACTTACAATCATAGACGACTAGCGGAATGATTTTTTTAATGTCACAGTCGTCCAAGATTTAGAAATAGGAAAGACTCACAGCCCTTTCTACCAGCGGAGTTCATCGCAATATATCCACTATAGGGAGAGTTTGCAACTGAAAGAAAGAAAATTGTCCTTGTGTTGCTTATGTGACGGTGAAAAAGATAATCACTTGGCAACCCAGTGATGCAGCCTTTCGTTTTGACGCCATCTGTAAACATGATCTCGTTCTCCACGAACGGAAGCCAGTCTGATTGAACAGTCGGATTTGGATCTGAAGGAAATTATTTCGGTGTAAGGGGTATACGATAACTTTACTCACTCCACGTTATCGAGCCTTTAAGCTTTTTGTTAAAGCTTGGTTCTGGCACTAATTGGGTGTCCTTCTGTGTCTTCTCGGCCTTTTTCGGGCTACAAACAAGTGTTATGGGTTCATCTTCAACGTGTCCTGGATAGACCTGTGCTCGGAGAGACATGTGGTCATTATCATTCATTGGCACCTCGCCGTCCATATCCCCGAACAGTTGAATCTTGCGATCAGCGATGCCCTCAGCTTTTACAATTTGTGACTTCAGGGAAGACACAGTTTGAGGGGGCACGATAGAGAACGTGTCAATGCGACCCAAGGAAGAGTCGTCCGGGTCAAAGGATGTTTTCGAAGCCATTGCACCTTCTTCCTCGTAAAGCCGGTAGTAAACTGATTGATAATGAGTAACGCGAGTGTGCATGATACATGATGAAATTGCCGTTCGCACCATAACGAGGCCCGGGCGTCACAGCCTCAGGGAGACCCTTCGATTGCGCCGTGCTCGCTGATCGCTTTTTAGCATCTTCCGCTTCAACTACCAGAACTATGGAGTCATCCTCAGACCACCCCGGGCCGGGCCAGAAGGATCCTTCAGCGCTAATCGAAAGGACTCCGTAGCGGCAGTCTGACTGGAAATTGATTCGAAGAGTGTGGAACTCGTAGCTCCTGAAAATCCCTCGATCTTGCAGAGATGCTTTGTGATGGATAAAGCGGCACGTGGAGGAGCGACGAGTTTCAGAAGAGTGCGACTGATGAATAGGTTATCTACATAGATCGGATTGTGCGTTGCAATTGGACCGTCTTTGGTGAATAGGCGATAGTAGACTGATTAAGTAGAGAATTTGTATGAGAATCGGAACAGGACTTATGAAGGATGATACAACTGTAACGAGGACCGCTCGTGTCAGGACTTTCAACCTGCATGGTGCGTTAGTACGCCAAGTTTTCTGATGAGAATGAGTCTAGTATGCCAGTACTCACCGCTCCACCCCGTCCGTCTGATGAGCCTTGCCCAGACGCACAGGGCTGGGATCTTCCGTCGGATTCAGCTGCGATTGAGGCCATTTGGAGAGCAATCTACAACGATGCTAAGTGGTGAGCGGAAGAGTTTGATCAGCGGGCGTTTGATTACTAGGCACATCTGTATATGTTCCGTGCTGTGCAAACATGATTAGATTAGGTTGTAGCCGAAAAGTTGCCTATCTCTATTAGACTTACGTTTCGCTTCGAAACGTGACTACCTTCGACCCCCGCTCCCATTTTTTGTAGGTGGGTTCAGATCATTGGACCCCATTGGGGTCGACGTGGTTTTCGTCAGGGTCCATCAACCCTGGCTCGGCATCGACGTAACAATAAATATTTTTTGCCAGATCGTTCCTGACCTTCTAAAATCCATCTTTGAAAAAAATCGTTTTTTGTCCGAGCTCGGCCAAAGCACGTTTCGTCGACGTTGGCCTCAGATGTCAGACCCCCCCTTAGCTTTTTTGTGGGTGGGAAGATGTAGGGTGGACGCACCTTTTTACAAATTTTCACATGGGGGACGGTGAATCTGAGCCCAAGATCTTAAGAATATCTTGTTGACCACTTCAATTACTTTATCTGTAAATTGTTCCCAGTCCTCATTTGAATGGCTTAGACAGGTATTCAACATCAGTACACCATTGTTAGCCCAACTTCAAAGTTATCTGTGAAGAGGATGATGTCAAGCAATGTGGACAACTTAATATCATACAATCTCAGTGTCTAACTTGCAAGTAGCATACCAGAACCAGACACACTTATACTTAGAATAACCATGAGTACCAGACAGACTTTTAGTTAGAAAGACCAGGAAGAGTTAGTACCCAAGATATAATATTGCACCCTACAGCCAAGGGTCTGTTATTTGTCAAGAGGATTCAGTTCTATCTGCATCTGGCAGCCAACATTCCATTATATTACAAACTAGGAAATGAGGTCAAGTTTCTGCTGTAGTAAGTTTGAGGACAAGTCACTTAAGCCAGCATCTTCTTTACCATATTCATCTAGTTCAAAAACATGACATCTTTACCAAATACATGTCTATGTGTAGAAGAAGGGGTGGGGGTCACCCTATCACAGACTGGTATGATGACTGGAGTGTTATCTAATCCGGATCAATATGCTCCAAACTCCTTCAATGACTTTATGTATCAAGATTTGCCATCACTAGAACCACCAAACTTATAGAAATAACTCCATATCATAGCAGTATCTTCTCTACCATCCCCGCCTGCTTCAAGTCTGCCCTTACTATCACAACCCTCACCAGATTTAGCAGAAGCTTTGTCCCAACTTACACCAGAGTTGGAATGTTTAAAATCATGACAAGAATTGAGGGTTAGGGTTTGTTAGAGTATCCTCCACTTGGACTAGAGCGAATGCAAAGGTTGCCGCTACAACTGTAGCTGACAAGCTTTCGGTTACTAGTACCTCGTCAGTGCAATGCGACTCTTTTATACACGGTCAAGTGTGGTTGTGTTAGGTGCATCTACGTGAACAAATTATGCTCGACTATGAGTACTAAGCACTAAGAAGCCAGAGGCTCGCGAACGAGTATGACGACGTCGCACTTGTTTTCCCCCATCGACTCTAATCTTCACCAATAACACGTTTTTATCGATAACGATCGATAAGAACTGATAACAATCAATTGATCCGTAAAAACGGACGATAGATAAGAGAATCCCTTGTGAAACCGCTAACCATTTCACTCGATTGGTAGCGTTCAGTGCATTTTCATGCATAGATTGCTAGATCGGATGGGATCTAAGAATAGCTGATATCTATTTTTACAAATAGACGTCAGAAGACATGCCTGCAGGTGTTTCCGCAGTTACTCCGACAGAGCGGACCACCGTATGTCCGATATAACGTTTCTCCGAAGATAAGCCTACAACGTGCCTAAGTTTCGGCAAAAAGAGGGTGCCTTTGTGATATATGCTGTAGCGCCCTAGGGCGCTTATGCATTTTTCCGCGAGGTTTTACCGAAGAATAATGATTTTCGTCGTGTTACTAACTAGAGTTTTTCCGCAAACCGTTTGCTCCCGTAGGCTAATAGGTTGCAACCGCACCAACAGTAGGTATGGTACGGCATGCCCCGAAGGGCAGGGATCACCAGCTTTCACAAGTCTAGATCATTACTGTCCAGAGTATGTGCCAAGCGCATCCATGCGCTAATTCTAAGTTACACCGTCTCCGCTATTAAGCCTCTAGCGTGCCCACTCGCGCTGCAGTTAGTAAGTTTCGCCACCCCCCGAAGGGTTAGACTACTAGTACAGGTCGCCCGCTCTGGAGTGCCTTTTTGGTCTTATAATATAACAGAAATGAGCACGTTCTGACCCGCGCTACGTTCTGGCATTTTAATCGCTTACATGGAGACTAATAACTCCAATGTTATTACCGTCTCTATTGATAGATCTGAATCCATTAGGCGCCATAAGCGCCATGATCAGATTGTTTTATCTACGTCCCACGGACGTTTGTATACATTAAATAACTCTCTAACTAGACACATGCCTAACGAGAATCCCTTATTGCCGGGGGGCGTACCTTGCCTTTGTCTGGTAGTTAACCGTTAGGGCTTAGGGTTTCGGGTTCATGGTTAGGTTTAGGGTTTGAACCTAATGTCTAATATGA